GTCCCTCTCCCCTAAGGTTTCCCCCTAAGGTCAATTGCCCTTTTCTCCTCGCGGACATTTATCACTCTCCCCCCTACATTTCCGCGCCATTCCCGCCGCTTTCTACTCCGGCTTTCACGCATGTATTGGCCGTATATTTAATGCCGGATAAGCCCTATGTTACTTGACGTCATTGGACGGCCGTCCCGCCTCCTCCGGCTTCTGCGCGCTCTCTCGGCGGCGGGGGTTCGCACGGTCTGTGGTCTCCAGGCTCCGCGTCCCATGACACAGTCCGATTCGGGGAACATTTTGGAGCCTGGCCCCTATTCTCCCTTTTATTCCTCGATATTCCGAGGAGTATTCAAAGGCCAAGGTGAAAGTAGGTTCCTTGTTTGGGTGGAATTGGAATACTAGAGACCTTTATGTATTTCATTCCGGTTCTCATAGAAATTTTTGGTTCCATTTTTGAGCACAAATGAGGTCATGTGATGTCTGCCCTATGATGAATCTCTTGGCAATAACTTTTTTCTCCGCTAGAAAAATTTTATGAAACCTTGAATAGAGGGTATATCTTGCTCTTCCGAAGTATCTGTCAGATTTTCCAAACGCACTTTACGAAATCCTTTAAGATATTTCACCGTTTATAGAACGATATAGTAGATGTACCATTCTATCAATAAAATTTTTTTGGGTTGAACAATTATTCTAACGATAAGACCATGCATAGAGCTTTATGATGTCTTCTAGAAACGCCAAGATGAATTTTAGACCGCGCTTTAGAGAATTCGTTGAGATATTGAACTTTTGAGACATGATGTATACAGTATGGTATTTTGGCCAGTAATTTTTTTCCAGCCGGTCCAATGCTTGCAAAACTTTGCAAAGGCAACAGGTATGACTCTCTAGGGCATCCATTAAAATTTTGTACCGCGCATTATAGAAGCTATGGAGATATTGCTGTTTTTTTTGTACCTGATGACATTACTGATGAATCTTTTCCTAAAGATTTTTGAGCTCGCCAATTTCTTTAAATCATTTCAAGAGTTGTCTATATGATAGCCTAAGGCTTTTTTCAACATATTAAAACCGCGTTATGCAGAATTCACTAAGAAATTTCAGGTTTACAGCCTAAATTTCGGATTTTAGCAAGTTTCTGCCAAAAATTAAGCTTTCCCTTTAAAAAAAGGTATTTTGCCTCAGGAATCATAATGCAAATCTCCTGATAAATTGTTAAAATTGTTAATTCAACCGTATTTTCCATCCAACCCCATAAACTTTGCCTTTAATGTCGAAATCCCAATTCCCAGAGTCCGACAAAGTTCAAATTGTAGGCCAACCGGGGTGAGCAGGTGATTTCATCCGCAAAACGGTCTGTAATTTAAATTTTTTCCCTCGAACAACTTCCGCATTTCCCGGAATTGCGAGTTCCCTCGAAATTTTCGCCCTTTTCGGCTGCACTCCCCATTTTTCGAATGGGGCGACAGATGTTTTAGTGTTTGAGACAAACGAAAAGCGAGTCTGGCGCGTGAGGACAGCGCGCTCTTCGAGTGCGGGAAATACGGCGGGGGTTTTGTCTGCGGACGCGAGGGGCGAGGGCTCGGGGGATTGGCGATAAATAAAAGGCACGAGACGGGCTTTTGTTTGGCTAGAGGTTGGTGAAATCTCGTAACAGGGAGGGGAATGGCGGAATTTGGAAATTTTGCTGACATTAGGCTTGGGATAAGGTAAAAATAATATTTTTTTTCAAAAGTCAAGGTATGGATTTTGTTGGAATTTTGGCCAAATTCAGCCTACAATTTTCTAAGAGATTTTCAAAAACTTTTGCATCGCGCTTTGCATAAAATTTTGAGATTTTAAGTCGAAAAAACCCAAAAATTCAACATTTTTTGGATTTTTTCAGCCAAAAAAACATTTTTAATTCAATTTGCACTAATATTTTTTGTATGCACACAAAAATCAACGCCTTTTGTCGAAAAAATAAGAAAGAAAAAGGCTCAAGGAAAATTTTCTCTGACCGCTCTCCGCATTTCCCGCACTCTCTCATAAGAACGCTGAATTTCTCGGCTGCCCTGGGAAATCGCGAGCTAAGATTTTCAGGCATTAATTTAGAGCTTTTGCAAAGCATGTATGCCAAATTTCAAAAAAAAACCGAAGGTTTTATTTTTTCTCAAATTTTGAAATTTTGATGACATTTTTTAAAATTTTTAGTTTTTGGCCAAAAAATCGCCTGATTTGGACTCCACAATCTTTTCATTTCACTTTCAATATTTTTTCAACGATATTTCCTCTGCAAATTCAAATATAAAAGATATAATCCATGCGAAACGCAGCGAAAAGACCTTTTCATTCGTAAACAAATTCAAATGTAGTGAAATTCGTTTCGTTGGTCCGAAGAGAATCATGTGACTTTGCCCGTCTTCTGATCGTCCCCTCTTCCCACCCCTTTTTCCGCATTCATTCAATCGTTTTTCTCCGAAGCAGAACGTGCCCATCACGGGACCGGCTGAAGACGAATTGATACCCTGCTCCGATTTTCCGTATTTTCCAGGGTATTTTGGGCTGAAAAAATTGTTTTTGAGAGATAAAATGGAGTATATTCACAAAAAAAGCCGAGATTTTTTTTCGAAATTTAGGTCCCTCAAGCATAATATAATCTGCCGATTTTCTTCAAATTTTGCATAGATACTCTATATGGGCCATAAATCCATCTCTGAAAATTTTAGCTCAAAATTTGAGCCCGCAGCGAAGATATGAGGCGATCATTTTTCCGAGAGAGCACGCAAAATGAGGAGAGCCGGTTAGAGAAAATCTCCTTTTCGGCTATACCTCCGCGAACTTCGCATGGAAAAAATTAATTTTCTTCTTGAATATTGCACTCCACATTTGAAATATTAAACTTTGTTCTGTTCTGTCGCAACTTTGTCGATTTTACATCAAAAAATGTTGATTGATTAAATTTTTGAGAGGCTGAATGAAGCCTTTTCTGATTATTTTCCACTTGATCTTTATTGCTTGCCTTGATGTATTCGTTGCCTTATCGCTGACGTCAAACGAACCACCTAGGTCAGTCACAAGGAGAAGATGAACAATAACAGATTCCTGAGGGTCACGTTTAAATTTTTACAAGCTTTGTATAGATGGCAGAATCTGCACGAGGAATCAGTGATTAGAAAACGGAAAGTTTTTTCCACTGATTGCTGTGTCATGCTTTCCCGGCGAGAGAGTAGTCAAAGTTCGGAGAGCGGTCAGAGAGGCATACGCTTTATAAAACCGCAAAAAAGTGATTTTTTTGACATTTTCCGTTCAAAAAATCTCAACGATTTCTCAACAGGTTTAGCTAGTTTTTTCTCTGTCTCATGACCATCCTTGTTGACCCATCGCAATCCCCAGTACAGCCCCCAATACCCATTATTACCCCAAAACACTGGCATACAATCTTGGCTGCCGACAAACATTTTTCAAGGTCGAGGGTTTCGATATAACGCAATTACATTTATTGCCCAATCCAATTTTCGCTCAGTTATAATTACGGGAGGGTCTAAGCAGCACTTTTCCGATTACACTTCCTTCAATTTCCCTTAACACTTTTTCGATTTCTTAAGCACTTTCGAAAGGTGGGCAGAAAAAAAACAGGGGAGGACCGAACACTCTCGGAACGTTCGAATGAAAAGACATTACAAATGGTTGGGTTGTCATTGGACTCTAAGGCTTTTCAAAAGGTTTACGTCAGGAGGTTTTAGTCATCTGAACGGGTCCGGGTCGGGGGTTGAATTCCAGGCCGGGGGCGCTTGCATTTTTTTAGAGCTTACATGGAAAGTAACCCAAGTGTGACGCTCAGATTTTCTTTTGGTTATGCACACACGCCGAGCATAGGCCACGTATCAAAGTCTGGAATGTTTTAGTTCGCGCTTGTCAGACGCAGCTCACATATTCAGCGATGTTTGCTGCCAAGAGAGTACGTGGAATGCGGAGAGCCATCACAGAGAAGAACGCTTTTATATATTTGCCAGTTTCGTGCGGACAAAAATGATTTTTTTGCTTAGACATTATCCTCTGTTTAATAGGTATGAAACACGAAAGATTTCGGCCGTAAAACCGCGATGAATTCTCAGAATATCTCTAGATTCTAATCTAAATTTATCCCGTTCCATCAAAGTCTGAACACTTCTATTTTTTGCACAAAAAAATTTTTTTGATGACAAATCTTTTTTTTCAATTTATTTCCGAATGTCAGTTCTATTCCCTTTGGACTGTGTCTATAAAAAACCCGGTAAGTGTTCTTCCCCTTCCTTGATATTTGCATCCTATGGGCCCCGATATCGCACATATATTTGTAAATTCCCCGTTTGTTTTCTTCACGTGATCATTCTCGAGGCTTTCCGGAGAGACAGAGCGAAAAAAGACCTCTTACCCTTTTATTTTTCGCAATCATTTCACATCGTCCTTTCGTCGGAGACGCCTTTAAACACTTTTTATTAGTATAGTCTCAAGAGACAGTCATATGACCCGAATTCCAAAAGCCTTAGAACCCGCGTATTTTAGGCAAATTTTTGGTCGAAACTCGCAAATACTAAATACCGCAATGTACTTACAACCAATTTGTCGCATGACAAACACTTTTAGCCCTTAAAACCTGGAGTTCACGCTAAATTTTGGATTTTGTACTTTAGTGGCTACTCATGTGACCAATTTACACTCATTTTCTCCCCAAATTTCACTTTGAACCCTGCTGATAAGCGCGTTTTTTGAGTGGTCGCGACGATTTTTCCTTCGTCGGGATATCAGCGATGGCTTTTTTCGACTTTTCGAAGAGGTTATCAAGTATTATTTAGGTCAGAAAATCGCATCCAGCGCGTGACAGATGTTGTTAGCTATCGTTAGCCGGTTATGTTATGGACTAAACAAGAAATTGGGACTAGATTTGTACTTCAAAATCGAAAATTTTCCTTATAAAACAGAGTTTCACCCCAAGTTTCTGAAAAATTGGGGGAAAATTAAATTTAAGATGCCTTTAGGGCAAGATGGACTCTAAAACAAAATCTACAGCCTTTACAGGGCGTTCGCTTGTGTTTTCTTCACTTTTTCTGCGATTATTCCCCTTGTGCAAGGCCTTTTTTGCGAAAAATCGAGTCCAAAAACTCATTCGTCGGCTCCGCTGCGACGGTGCGGTCGTGCTTTTTGTTGGTGACTTCCCTCGGCTTCTCGCCCCACTCAGCCCCGCATTTACTGCGTTCGGGAAGGCAGTGCGGAGCGAGGCATTTACCATCACTCTCGATTTCTTCCCCACTGATCCACAGGCAGGTCGTTCTCTTTTTTCTCTTCCATTTTTTTACTTCGTTCTTCTGTTTCTGCCGCCGGCGAAACGCTTTGTGAACATAGCCAGACAATTTTTTGGGGGAAATGAAGCGGAATTTCATAATCCCACGTTATCTGATAAAAATTTTGCGAGGCGTTTTATTCGCGTCCTTTCCGAAGGTTTGAAAACGTTTGTAGATGTGGGAGATGACAATTCAATCTTGCTAAAATTAATGTCTAAGCTGGCTAAAAGTAATTGTCAGATTCTCTTCTAAAAATCCAGGCCTCTGTCCTTGTTTTCTGCCCAATTTTGGACCTTACTTTAGATGTTGAGACCTTGTTGTAGGTTTAAAGGCGGAAGAGCATGTTTAGAAATGGCCCATTATCCTCAACGCTTTTTATAATCACGCAGGCCTCTTGTTAGAACGTCCTCTAAAAATTTCAGACGTCTATCCTTCTTCTTTTCCAATTTTTCGGCCTTATTTTAGACTTCAGCACCTTATTTTAGGTAGATTTGATGTTATTTTAGCCAATTTTCCTAATCTTAATTCAAATTCCTATCTATAGCGTCTTTTCGAGCTCCAAAATCTATTGTAAAATCTGCGACGAACCTCGTGGCTTGATCTCGCATCGGGAGTCAAGTGTTGCCCTATAGATTTTCCGAATGGGTCATGTGTCGCTTTTTGATGACAAAAATTTTTTTTCGTCGGGGCTGGAAAGTGCAGAAGCCGAGAGAACTCTAGAGTTGGGAGCGGCTGCGGGGCGCGAGTGAGAGAGTGTGCGACCGCGTGTGGGGCGGCGGGGAGCAAGCGACGGACGAAGGGCTCGGGGCGCTCGTCCGTCTGCTTGTCTGGCCCCGAAACTAGTCGTTCTGCTGCCCTCCGCCTGTGTCTGTTCACTTCCCGACGGCTCTCTCCGCTCGTCGGTGCTGCTGCTGGTCGTGGTGGGGCGAATGAATGGATGGGAGAAGGGAGAGACTGGGAATGGAGAAAGTCGGGTCGATAGTCATGAGTTTTTTCCCTGCCCCAACCAACCAATTTTCCTTGTCGACCATTCCCAGTCGACAGCTCCAGGCGAATCGATTTTCTGCCCGCAATTCGCGAACCTTCGGCAATGATTGCGTGTTTGTCGCGAAATTTTCGAAATTTTGTCCCCTGATATTGACGAGAAATTGTCTCGAGTTCGTGTCGCGTTCGCTTCATCGATTTTCGAGCTAATTTTTTTCTCGTTTCAGCCCGTTCTCGGCAACTCTCACTGATCACAAGGGTTCAGACAAACAATGGAGAATCAACAGCAGACTACATCTTTGTGTCGCGCGGGCTGTGGCTTCTACGGGTCCTCGGCAACGGAAGGTCTTTGCTCCAAGTGCTTCAAGGACAGCATAAAGAAGAAGCAGGACACGGGTCGTCTGAGCCCTGCAGGTATGTTGTTTGGACTTTGTTTCTTGCATTTTTAGGTAACAGCCTTGTTGATTTCGAAATAGTTGTGAAGATAAATATAGTGGTTTGCCTCTGAAAGGTTTTTATAAACAATGAGACGCCCATTGAGAGGATATGAAATTTTTCTGATGTTATTCATGAGGTCTAGTATAATGTACGGAAAATTCTGCGGGAATTGGCTTATTTCCGGCCGTTTGAGTTCGCCGATGTAGAGACCAGTTTGAATGGTTCCCTGGGGATGTTTGACATCATTTACGACTGCTTTTTGACATGTATAATACCGAGTTTCTAATTTTAGCGGACAATGCCAAATCCGTCGCCGACAAACTCCGAGAAGTGGTGGCTCAAGCTCAAAACGCCGACCTCAGCGCGCAGTTCGAGTCAGCCGTCGCGAATGCCTCAAAGATTTCCTCCTCGATGCCTGAAGCCAGCCTCGGCGGCAGCCCTTCGCTCAAAATCGAATCTCCCAGCCTTTCGTCTTCAAGGTGAGTTGATTCGATCTCTTGTTGTTTGTCGTCTTTAGAACGTGTTGAAGTGCCTGCTAGCTCAGCGGCAGTCCAAGTTCGGAGTAAAAATTGCATTAACCATGTTGTTTTAGCTCCGCTGCTTCCTTGGTCACACAACTCTCCGAACAAGGTCCCAGCACTTCAGCCCCCGAAGCACCGGTTTCCTCCAAGAAGACCAACCGCTGTCAGGTGTGCAAAAAACGGGTTGGACTTACCGGTGAGTGCTTTCACAATGTGTTTATCCGGGTCGGGTGCACTCTGAAGTTCAATGTTGTTTGATCAACAAATTGATGGCTCTGCTGATCTGGCGGATCAGTAAGGCTTTATTTGGTCCAATAGAGGGTTTAGAGAGGGAAATTGAGAGGATATTTAAGCTTTTCGAGATTAAATTATATTACTTTAGATGTGATGCAATTTTTTTTAAAATTTGGTCGATAATCTGATAATTACAGGTTTCCCCTGCCGCTGCGGAGGCTTGTATTGCGGAGAGCATCGCTACGACTCGGCCCACGACTGCCAGTTCGACTACAAGACGGTGGAGCGCGAGGAGTTGCGCAAAAACAATCCGGTGGTGGTTTCCGAGAAGATTCAACGGATCTAAACACAGAAGGAGACAACATTGCTGATGTGAAGATGTATATCTGATACCCGTTTCATTGGTTTTTCTCGCGTTTTTTGTCTCTAAATCAACCAATCAACTACCTATCCTCCAGTTTTGTTTTTGTTTTTTTTTCTCTTTTGTCTTTTCTCTCCCCCCACACTCCGCGATGGCGGAACATTCAGCGATGAATAGAACTCCCTCTCTTTTTGCGACGTTGTCTCTCCCCTCCGACCCCAGTGTTTTTGAAGAAGCGAAAATTTGTAAATCTTGTTGTCTGACACCTTTTTTCGTGGTTTTTTGGAATCCGCGACGGGTTTAATGTGTAAGCAAGGGGTGTCCCAAAAGTGGCCAGAACTCGTCCTCAACCGGACGCGACTCGGCCAATCCACAACCTCTGTCTTGGACTGTTTTTATTCTTGTTTCCTCCGTTCTTCCCTCTTTCAAAGAATTTTATCGTTTAAAGCGCCTCCAAATATCTTCAACGGCCTTCCCGCAGGCCCATCCAACAACAGTTCCCCTCAGGTCAAATCCCCATTCTCTTCCGGTCGTTTGGCGGAGGGAAACTCGGACTGCTCTCGATTTTGGTACCTAAAATAATAAAAAAACGCTCGTGTCGTCGTTTCGGGTGTCCACGATGCCCGAAATTGAACGTAGCGGGCCACGGAAACCTCGTTTGGGTCAAAAATCGTCGAATCGAGCAGTCAATAATGTATCATAGTTTTTTCGATATTGTTTTATGTCGTGGCACCTTTCAAAGGCGCTGTTTGTCAATTTTTGCGGTCAGAACCCATAAATTGTATTTTCACCTGTACCCCTCGACGTTTTGTCTACTATTTTTTTTCACATTTTTATTGTTCCGATGTCAATATACCATTTGATTTTTTTGTGTGTGGTTTCTTATTCTAGAAGAAAGTTATGCTTTTTAAAATGTCGGCATTGATTTGAAATTGACCAAGAAGAACTCGAACAAGGTGGAAAAGATCGTCAGACAGTCGTTGAACATCATAAAGTTGGTAGAATCGAGAAAAAAGGCCTGTTACAATGTCGTCGTATAAAATGTCACCCGCAGTTTGCACACGGCTCGCGCCCATATTTGTTACAAGAATTTTGTCGTGGAAGTGGAAATGGATCCTCTCTCCTTTCAATTCGTTGGAATCGCGTGTATTCAATGGATTCAATCGCTGACAACTCCGCTTTCCATCTTTTTAACGTTATATCGGACATCTAAAGTAATATCCGAATTTCAGGTCAATAACTGGTAAATGTCGGTGTCAGAGCCGTCGATTAGTGTAAATGAAGATGTGGCTGCTGTGAAACAGGAAGTCGTTGAGGACAATGGTGTTTTGATTGAGAGTTTGAAGAAAGAGAGAGATTTTGAGGTAAGGATAATATTTTTATTATTTTTTCCTTTTTAGGTGGAGAATGAGCTGTTGAGAAGTGAGTTGGACACAGTCAGAGCGCACAATGAAGCTTTGGAGGACAACAACTTGGATCTGCGAGCCCAATTGGCGGCCAAAAGCCAAACGGAAAAGGTTGGACATCTAGTATAACGGATATTATTAGTAAAGCTATGAAAAATAGTTGTAAGAGGGTTTAATTGATATTTTCAGGACTTGCAAGAGCAGCTCAAGGTTCTGAGCCAGTTTGCAATCAACAATGGATCCTCTCATCAGAAGCAGGTCGATCTGCAGCGGATGTACGACCAGATGTGTTACAAGGACGGTAGAATTGTGGAACTCAACAACATAATAACAGACAAAGAAAGGCAAATAATGGATCTCCAAGAGATGTGTAGAGAGCAGAATCAAGTCGCTGAAGCCAAAAATCGGGCTGTTCAGATCGTCAACAAACGACTCAAGGTGAATATAATTTATATTGATGAAGCAGATGTTCATGGCGGTGTAAAACATCGAAAAATGTGTTTGAAGGTGTGTGATTTAATTTGTTTTCTGTTTTTAGGACTTGGACAATCGAAAGTTCAGTGACGCGTCTACTGAAACCGATTTGGCTTCGGCCATACGGAAGGAAAAGAGCACAGTGAAACGAGAGATCTCGCCTGGTCGGGCGGTTCCTCAACTAAGACTCTATGGTAGGTCAAGGGTCTGCTGTCAAAATTTGGAAGGCTAGCAACCGTGATATTGCCTTTCAAATTGCGAAAATTGAGAGAGTTCAATAGACATCCTAAAATAAGTTGGTTATGGGAAATTTAGGCGGTAAAAGTTGACTTGATGGATTGAATAGATGCGAATCGAGATTTTAAGATGTGATAAGGCTGCTCAAAGCTCTTTTGAAGATTGAATTGAAAAAAAATCTAGATTTTTCGATTAAAATTTTTATTTTATTTTTTTGACCTGACAATGTAAAAAGTTTGCGTTTTTTAGCCAGAAATTTGATCTTCAGCTGTTTAACGAGTTATCAACTGCAAATAAGATGTCTCTTCGTTATTTTGAGTCCAAAAATTTCAGGTTCCAACCACTCTCCCCCTCCAATTGACCCATCGGAAGAGCAGTCCAGCTTCACCACCGAAACCGCTACCAATGTGGAAGAAGCGGCCGACGCCGACCGGGAATGGTCCTCCTCTCCCACACCATCCGGCCGGAAGTATCGAAAAAAGGTCACATTTGACCTGAGAGCAGCGTCAGTTCCGACTTTGAGAACGCCGCAGCCCGGCCAAGAACCGGTTGATCAGGAGACGTTATTGGACGACAGAGAGAGTTTGGCTCAAGCTGTGGTGGATTTGAGCGCCGAAAATGACCAATTGAGAAAGACCATCGCCGAAATGGAAAAGAATCAGGCTGGGCAAGGAGTTGGCGACGTGAAAATCGCAGCGGTATGTGTTTTATATTGTTTTTTGGAAATTTAGGTATCAAAATTGATGTTGAAGATTGCTGAAAGCTCTCTTAGAGCTCTCGCGGAGAAATTTTTGAGGCTCTGGTAAGGGGAGGTCATGCCAAATTTTTGGGAGAAAAATTTTGCGCTAGTCGCGATTTTTTCAACTAATTTTGCCTGACCTTCAGCTGGAAGAAGAAGCCGAACTCGCCCGAAAAGACGGCCGCAATCAAGCGATCAAAGCGCGCGCCGCCGCGACTGCGCGTCTGAAGGCCTTGGAAACCGAACTCCGGGAACTGAAAATCAACACTTCCAAGGAAATTGACAGCCTGAAGGCATCGAATGAGGTCCTCAAATCCTCAAGGGAGTGGGCATTGATGGAGAATTCGAAGCTCCTGGAACAAATATCGAAACTGAAACAGAAGCTGAGCGATCTGCACGGCGAACTGGACGCCTCAAATGCGGCGACAAACGTGATTCGTCAGCGATTGGAGGCCGAGGAGCGAAGATATCAGGGCCTCACTGAAGAGCTGAGGAACGCGAACGCCGCGAACCAACAGCTGGTCGACGAAAAGTCGTATCTGGTCAACGAAATTGAACGTCTGAATGATGACCTAAACCAACAAGCCGATGTGATCTCCTCCATGGAGGGAGACTTGATCGTCTATGAGGCACATGTTGCTATCTTAAGAGAGAGTTTGAGCATGACCAAGAAGGAGGAACAGCAACTCATCAAGTCCAAGGCATTTGCGGCGAAACTGAGCGCCCTGGAACAGGAAAAAGCGGTGATTTCGAAGAGAAATAATGGTAAGGGAGGCTGAATTTGGATGTGATTAGAGTGGATATTTCATGAATTTTATTGGGAAGTGGCTGGATTAGAGATTTTGATGAAAAAGTTTGGGAAATTATATTGTTTTAGGTGGAAAAAAGGGGAAAATTTAGGATTTTTAAAGTTAGGATTTTTATGGAGGAAATTCATTGTTTTGAAGAGTTTTTGAACTAAAAGAAGTGGTTTACATTAAAATTTGATATTGAAAATCGTAAGATGATGAAAATTTTTATACTGTTTTAGGTGCGAAAGAAGAAAAAATCGAGGATTTTGAATAGAAAGTGGTTCATTTATTGAGAGGATTTAGATTTCAGAGGATTTTTTTGGGCTGCGGTTTTTGACTTTTCCAGAAAAGTCAGTATAAATGTCTTTTTCAGACGAAAAAATCCGAACTAAAGCCCTGAACACGAAAATCCGAGAGCTGGAGAAGGAACGAGACTCGCTGGTTGAGTCAATAATGTACACACAAGGCCTCCTCCAACAATACGAGGACTCCAAGGGATCGGGCCGCCGAACCATGTCCAATTCCATCGATGGAAGCGAATGCGGAGAGCCAAAGCGATTGCGAAAAATTGATGAGGATTTGAAAAATACGGAGCGGAATTTGAAGGAAAGGGGTATTGACGAAGATTATGCCATAAATAATGAAACGGACGGGTTGGGAAGAGGATTGGGCCAGGAAAATTTGGACAATTCAGTCCATGAAGACGTGAGCCCCGAAATGTACCAAAAAATGGTGCCGGAATTCGCGCGCGCCACCGTAACCCCCATGGTCCCAATCCCCATAAAATTCCAATCGAACTCGGCCTTCCAGCCAATCAGCAGCCAGCTGAGCCGTGAGACCCTCAACTCATCCACCACCGACCTGGAATCCCGAATTCAGCGGCTCAAAAATGAGAACGAGGCGGAGAAGGAGCAGCGAAGAAGATTGGAACAAGAAATTGGAAATTTGAAAATCTCCCAAAGCGAAGTGGCTCAACTCTTAAAAGAAGCCATTGAAAATGTCCTACAGCACCTAAGGGAAAACGGCCACACGGCTTTGGCGGAGAATTTGAACGCTGAGGTCAGAAATTATCTTCACCATGGAGATCTGAGACAGGTTGCTTCGGAGGTCCGTAGATTCATCGATGAAGTTCTTAAAACGTTGGTTGATGGAAATATTGGAGCCTCAAGAAGCAAAGAATCGAATGAAATCAGCAGACACATCAAGACGGCCGTGGATGTCACATACGAGGACCTGAAACATCAGGTAGGCCTAGTGTAATATAATGTGGTAGATGGTTGTGAAAAAATTTAACAGTGGAATGTCTTAATGGGAAATTTGGTGTATAATGAACTGATTTGGAAGGCAGATGTTAGTTTGGAGCTCTATATAACGAAGCTTTTGTATAACGAACACTTTTTTTTGAATTTTTTTGAGGGATTCCACGGTTCAATTTTTTGACGAGATTCGCCTGGAATAGGGCGTAGATGTACCTATAGTTTTGTTCACAGCACCGTACCGTCCATTCCGTTTCGAACCAACAGTTGGCACAGTGTTCGTACCTCTTTATCCATATCATTTTTTTGTTTTTGAGTTGGCACCTCTTATTGTTGAACAAAAAAAAATTTTTTTTTTTTGGATTTTTGACAATTTTGTGGGGTGTGGAGAGGAATGAGGCTCTCATTTTCATCCATATCTCTCATAAAAATGCCAAAACTTCAAAAAATTTTTAATTTCCGAAGATTTTTTGAAATTTGAATTTCCCCTGAAATCACAATATTAGTTACACTTCCGCACATGTCAAGTCGAATATAATGTTGAAATCGAAAAAAAATTCTTGAAGATGGAAAAGGAAAGAGAGTTTTTCGAAACGGAATGGAGTACGGTGAAGGCTCTTATTCTGCAGCAGAACGCCGAAGACGACGGAGAAGATGGTGGAAAACAAGAAGAGAGAAGCCTAAAGGACCAGAAAGAACGGAAAATTGGTGTGGAGGTGAGAAAAAAAGCAAATTTTTTGATGATTTATATTGTTGTAGAATTAATTTATATTATTTTAGACCCCAATCAGCCAAAACTTTAATTCCTTGGAGGAGGAGGTGGTTTATCTTCGAGATTCCAAGCTCCGATTGCAACAGCGTCTAAATGAAGCGGATAAGAAGGCGCTGGAGATGATCATCGAACGAGAGGAACTCCAAAATCAAGTCCAACATCTGCAGGTATGGGAATTTTTTTGATTTTTTATTCGGTTTTTAGGCCCATAATGTCCAACTGTCGGCCGAATTGGAGGCCCTCCAACACGCGTTACGCCATGAACAGGCCTTGAAGGCCGAGTTGGATGGCCTGGTGGAGCAGCTGAGGTCGGATAATGACCGCCTCAGAATCGAGGCCGACCTCTCCAGAAATTGTTTGGAGGACCTGAGGGCAAGTGCCAACTGGACAGGCCACAGTGAACTTAATTCCCAGCCGATTCGCCAACTCCCGGACCCGCAGCTCTTCCACATTGCGGATACGACCGCTCAAGAAGCCCTGAATGTCCATAGAATCATCGAAGAACAGGCGTTGCCTCAGGGTAAGTAAAATAAGTTTTTTGTTGAGTTTGGAAATTTAGGTGTCCGAGAAGAAATTCAAGAAGAGTTTGGTGGTTTACAACAAGGTCAAGCTGAGAATAGGGTCTTTGACGACTTCCAAGAACGAAATGAAGTTGAAGATGGAGGTCTGAGACAAGGAGAAGATCAAAAAGATCAGTTTTTGGACGAAAATCCCGCTGAAAATGATGCGGAAGGCTGGGAAGAACATGATGATGATCTGGAAGTGGAAAAGATCTCGGAAAAGCAACCAGAACCGCTTGAGGAAGTCGCAGAAAAACTTGAAAGACCTACAACTCCAGTTGATGATAAAATGGAGGCCGTGGAAGAAGGGGAAGGCCAGGAAATTGACGAAGACGACGCTTGGAATGAGGAATGGAGCCCGAGAGAGAAGAATGTGGATTTTAAATATGAATACCTGGAAGAACAACCCTTGCGAAGAGCGTCGGAATGCGCCAGCGACGTCTGCGATGTGAATATCGTGAATGAAGTGGAATGCTCGGACAGAATTTTCAGAGAACAGGAGAACGAAGAGATTGCATGCCGATTGGACCAGATGGAAACGGAAATCGTGGAAGGAGTTGTGGAGAATGTTTTGAATGATGAGAAAGAGAAGCAGGAAGAGAAAGAGTGGGATAAAGAACATGAAGAAGGGAATTTGGAGGAGGAAAATGCATTGGGAGTTGAGAAAAAGCAGATTGAAGATGATCAGGGATTAGAAGGTCATGTGGAAGATACTGAGGCCCAACGAAGCGAAGAGAAAAAAGATGAGGACAAAAAAATTGATGGAGAAGTTAATAAGGACGCTGACCCACTGCCAGAACAATATTCCCCTCCAAATTTGATCAAATCAATTCTAGAGGAGGCGGTTCCAATTGGCGGACCTGGCGCTGATGATGTAATTGAAAGAATGGAGCAAGAACTGAGAGAAGAAGAGGATAATGGCTTTGTGGAAGGAGAAGAGTACAGAATAGAGAAGGAGAAAGATGATGAGTTGCTGGAAAGATATTCGGCAACTAATTTGGACAGTATTTTCGGGCCACCAGCGGTTCAAATCGCTGGACCTGGCATGAAGAATGTAATTGAGGAAAGCAGGGAGGTTTTGGAAGAAACGAAGAAAGAAAATGATAAAATTGAAGAGCAGAGGGAAGAAGAAAGAGATGGGAAAAAGGATTTGGAGGAAATAATAGAAGAAGGTCCCGAAAAAGAAGATTTGAGAGAAGCAGAGCATGTTGAACATGATGAACATGAAGTTTTGTCGATTTTGGAGCAGAAAGGCGACTTAGTTTTGAAGAATGAGCCAGAAGAAGTGTCAGAAAAGAAGCTGGAGAGCATAGTTGTTGAGGAGAAGCCAGAAGAAAGCCCCCGGAAGAGCCCAGTTCTAGAGCAAAAGGATCAACAAGCCGTGGACCGAGCCCTCGCTCAAGGCGACCCGCAAAGCCTCGAATTCCTCCGGGAAATGGCGGAAACAAGCCTTCATGTCGCCGAATATCTCCAAGTTCAATATCAACTCATGAAAGAGGGCAAACTCCCAATTGTTCATGTCCCGAAAATTGAACGAACATCGAGACAAAGCAGTGTGGAGAGTCTACGAAAGAGCTTCTCGGAAAGCCCGGCGACGGTAAAGGGAGAAACCAGTGGGTATCAGGGATTGAAATTGAAGAATAAAGAGAATGAAGGTGTGATTAAGGTTAGTTGAAGGGGGAACTGGAAAAAGTTTTGAAACTTGAATTCTGGACATGTTGTTTACCATAAAAGGCATCTATAGCTTTCTATAAGACTCCTGGAAGATTTCTTTTCCTAATAACTTGAGAAATAATGGATGAAAATTTACGAAAATTGGATTGTTAAGGTTTCCAACGGTTACATTTTTTGGAATGCAATTTTTTATTACTAAAAGGTTCTCAGGAAATCTGAAAACTTGATTTTTATCGATGTTATTCATCAAGTCGGAAAAATCGGCCATTTATCGACTAAACTTTGTCAATAAATGACCGATTTTTTGATGGGATGTGAATAAAATCGATAAAAAACAAGTTTTCAGATTTCCTGAGAACCTTTTAGTAATAAAAAATCGCATACCAAAAAATGATAACCCTCGAAGATCTTTACAATTCAATTTTCGTAAATTTCATTCATTATTTCTTAGGTTATTGGGAAAAGAAATCTTCAAGAACTCCTGTAGAAAGCTATAGATACCTTTTTTGGTAAACATAATGTCCAGAATTCGAGTTTTAATCGTTTTTCTCTTTCAGGAGAAAGAAGAGATAGCTCCAATCAAGGAAATCCCAGAGAAATCGGGGAACGAAGAGTCGAAGGATGAATGGTCATGGGAAGAAGAACCAAAGCCTGCAAAACCGACTAAATCAACAAGTTTAAAGGCCAAGGAATCGAAAATTGAACCAAAAAAGAGTGAGGAAAGTAGAAGAGGAAAGGAAAAAGAGGTCGAAAAGGAGCTAGAAGTGCCAAAAGAGCAGAAAAAAGTGGCTGAAAAAGCGAAAGAAGAGGTGAGAGAAGTAGAAGAATCGAAAAAAGAAGCAAAAGAAGTCCCGAAAAAGCCAAAAGCAGCGAAAAAACTGGTCCTCGGCAAGCCAAAATTCAAGGTGCAGACGGAGGAGGACGAAGCACGCATAACAGCTGTATTGCCCACGAATTTTGAGGATAGTATTGATATTAGGCCTCATCAGATCCAAGAAATTGAAGATACAGCAACAGCCAGAAGTGGACTGACGGAAAACACCCAAGACAGCGAATGGAAGTGGGGAAATGAAGAGGAAATTGAACTTGAAGGTAAAAATTGAGGCCTTTTTATGTTGCACAGTATTCGACCTGATCCAGTGGCAGAAAACGTATCATTTTGCAGCCGGAAAGTGTCAAAAAATGTAGAAAAACACCTCCCTGTCCAAGTGAAAAAACTCCGATTTCAAAAGCTATCTTTGGGAGGGAAGGGCCCGCTTTTGAAATCGGAGTTTTTTCACCTGGAGAGGGAGGTATTTTGCTACATTTTTGGTACTCCATGGAGGCAAAATGACACGTTTTTTGTCACTGGATCAGGTCTGTCACTGTAGTAGGTCCTTTTGGCTTGTTTTGTCGATATTTTTGGCTGTTAGTAAGTGATTATGTAATTATGATTTTAGAGCCCTCCCAGGCCGCCCAATCAACTCAAAAGTCGGATGAATGGGGATGGGGCGAAGAGGAAGAAGCCTCGGAAATGACTGTAAAGAACGTTGAAGTCAAGAAGACTGAAAATAAACCAAAGCAATCAACAGACTGGGCTTGGAATGAGGATTGTAGGTTTTGAATAAGTTTGGGCCTTTGACCGGTGAATGTCATCTCCAATATGGCTAATTAACACATTTTTTTCAGCGACTGAGGCAACCACGAATGATGACGATGATGGCGCCTGGGAAGATTGGTAAATCCATAATTTTTTGTATCGTCATCCACCTGTGCTCACTGTAATATTGTGTGATAACCGACAAAGTGCCTGTTATATAATTGTAATTTGAAAATGTTTATCGAAATTATGTATTTATTTATCATGATGTTATAGAAACTGAATAAAGGCTAGTTAATAATGTGGATAATGATAATTTGGTTTTGATGTGAGGAATTTTTACAATTATTTATGATTTTTGAAAAAAATGGAGGTATGAATTTGGCTGGATTATTCATGACCAACAAAAAATGGGGAAATGAGGTAAAACAATAAGAAAACCCGAAAATTTCCTTCAATTTCTTGCGTGGTTCGACTAATGTTCAATGCAACATGGGCCTAGGAAGCAGTGAACATAAATTGGCCTGCAAATTCTATCAAGTTTCACACTGAAAAAACGAAATTCCGATGTTTCTGCTGAAAACATCGGAATGCCAAGGATTTTGCAGTGACATCATGAACTGTTGCGCGCGCAATTGCGTTGCCACGTGTTGACAAGTGTTGCATGAGACGTGGACGAGTTTCCTCTCGGCATCATTCTCATTTTACCGTTCATTTCGTCATTCTGATGTTGTAGTAGGTGGCGGCCGGCTTTTTGATGCCGGATTTTTTATTTTTTGGTGTTTTAGTGTAGTAAATTGTTTCTACTGTAGCTGTTGAGCTCTGTAGCGTTATGATGAGCTTTCTCCGCCAGGGAGTTTCGATTTTACCAGGTTTTTGATGAAATTTTTGTCTGTTGACACCTAAAGTTTTGTGGACCATGAGCTATCCACGTTTTCTCGTGTTTTTGTTGGATTCGCGAGCCGTAGGCGTTACTTTGGCTTAGATTTTACCCTTCTTTTTTTCAGTTCAAGCCGATCAATCAGCCATTTCCGGCATTAGGCACTCACGTCTCATGGTGAACATAAGCCACCTCCCCTGCGTTGGATAATACATTCCGTTCTGCCTTTATATATGACCAGGCAACTTGGATATGGGGTAAGTTTATTTTGATTTGTTTTTTTCCCGAGTTTAGATCTAAAATGGGGATATTCGGCCGATATTACACTTGAGGTCAGTAGGAGCCAACGGGAGCTTGGTTGCTGCTGTAAATTAGGGACACCTTGATCTTTTTTTGTCTTCAAGCTTCTTTGTTGACTTTCAGAGGCATTTCAAACCCCTTTTCGAACAAAATTTTTGGATTTGGGTGCTCTTGACCTTCTACTTGATTTGGTTACCAATTCTTTTATTTCAGATTACAAAAAAAGGGATTTTTTCAACAGCTCTTCCTGAGCTTGGACTCACAAAGTTCAAGATGAACGCTAGCTTCGCCTTCACACTACACCACGCCACTTCACCTCTCCAGCATCAGCTAACCAGCTCAAACGACAACGTCTTGATTCGACTTCGCCAGTGATCGATAAGAACCTCCTTTCTTGTTGGATTTGTCAAACCTGAACACTTCACGGTGTTGTTATATGGTGAGTTTAATTGCGTCTGTTTTATGTTATTTTAGGTATGAATAATATAAAATTTGCTGAAGTTTATGATGTTCTTTGATTTCAGAGCTTGCAATCAGTCTCCTCTGGCTCGCCCATGGGTTAATTTCTTCATCAGAGCTCTGTTCCATTCACTATCTTCGAATTTTCTGGACGTCGGTCAGGAGAATCACAAAAGCAACAGAAATTCTTGTAAGTTTTTTTTGTTTGTTGTTTCGATATTTAGGTAAAAAGTAGAATTTCGAAGAAAGTGCTGGGGCAGAGGACGCAGCTTGTTACTTATTTATGGGTTGTTTTACCCTTTTATGAGCTTCATATTGTTGTAGACGTTTATTTTATTATCTATTTGCAGATTCCATCGCATCGTCACATCTTCAAGTTCCTCTTCTCTTCAACTTCTTGTCAAATATCGACCAATTATGGACCTCAACTGCAACAGCAACATTCCGACCACAAAGGACCTCCACCCCCAGGAAGCGAAACTGAAATTCGAACAGCATAGTTCGCCTATAATGGACTGGTAATTGATTTATTGGATGGTGAATATATATTATTGTATAAGTAATAACATAGCTCTTTATTGGATAAGGTAGTCAGTAATAGTAATCGGAGTATTTTCTTCTCTATCAAGGCCAAAAGCCTTCATGAAAAACGAGAAGTGGGGCTCTAGTTTCGGGGTATCAAAGTTGTGACCACAGTAGAGGGGGAGTCGGGGGTCTCGGAGCTGTTCAGCCTTGGGTGTCGGGAGAGTTTAACTCCCTCTTATGCTTGGGACTAGTACCGGAGGTGACCAAGGGCTGGTAATCGGAGTACCCCGGGTTCCGTTGACCCGGAACTGGTACCCAAGGCGGATCAGCGGCTCTGCTTTCACTAGTCCTTGTGAAAATGCTGGGAAAAGTGGGACGAACGCTGGGCTATCGGTTATAACAATCAAAAAAGTTAAGTATATTGCGAATTGCCATCTTCCGAAACGAGCGGAGGCTGTTGATGTGGAAGATCGGTCGACCGATTGGATGCATGTTCAAGGCCTTTGGCCAAAATTTTAAAAATCGACCTAACCCTGTGATGACGGCTGTTCCGGATAAATCAAGCTGGAGCCACCGGTACGCCGCAGAGTTCGGTAATCGGTGGTGCCGAGACCTGGGGCGCTCGGCCGAGAGTCCTCTTTCCCCTCCGAGCAGCCATGAGCGGGGGCCCGTGTGCTGGTCCGAAGTTAAGGCGGGTGAACGAGGTCCCCAACGTGGGTAATGTAGCGAAAGCTCGCCTCAATACCGCGGTCGGCACTATGGTTCCGGCTTAAAACGTCCCACGAGACGTAGCCCGGGTTATGAGGTCAAAACCACTTTGAAATTTCAGCTTCACTACGTAAGTTTGTGGAGGATCGAAGGTAAGTTTTGAGCAGTGCGCGCAAAGTAGGGGGATGGCAAAATCGCATCAAAATATACAGTTTTTTTTGTTTTTTTTTTTTCTTTTTTTTGTTATAACCGATACTCCCAGGAAGTCATCCCACTTTTCCCAGCATTTTCGATCAACAAGGAGTAGTGAAACGAGAATCGCGGTGAAGCTGATACAAGCCACGACTGGCAAGGCGGCAATACCGGCCGAAACGAGAAGTCCGCCGCTTGAATCGATGGGAAATACCCCGAGATAAGTTGGGATAGACCCTCTTTGACATCCCTGGCTTGAACAGTAATCCGGACCATGGGGTCTACACCACAAAAAGTGGCGTAGGCACTGGGGCCAAACTTGTTTGGCTTTAGGGGAGTGCTCCCTCCTTACTGTGGCCACAACCGCGAAACTCAAAGAAGCTAGAGCCCTAGACATATTTTTATGTACCATACCTTACATTATAAGGCATCATAGACGAGAATTTACTCCGATATACTATTACTACTGCTACGAATACTTTGAATTGTTGAGGATATTGTACTGTAATTTACTATATCACACCATATATTATGATATTGTTTCGTATAACTTGATGTATTACTATGCTTTGCCATATAATTCTATAATACGTTATTGTTGTATTTGATTACTTTTGGGTTGTTTAGATAGTTAAAATTGATAATTTTGTGGGTTTATTGACAGTTTCGCCTCTATGATCGTATTTTAGTCGAATTTTCTCGTTTTTTCTTCGGAATCTCGGTTTTAATCGTCATGGAGAAGAGTTTGAAGAACCAAATTTTCTTCTGGAAGTCCGAATCCCTCATGACAGTTTGTGAGAAGTAGTGCTCGTTATGAAACAGTCAAGTTATTTCAATCCCTTCGATCTATGGAGCATCCTTTATAGGCGTGGTCAGGCTCTTGAAAATGGTTTAAAATGATGATGAATTTGATGGCAATCGATTGTATAGCACTCGATAGATTGCAGCAAACGCAAAAAGGTCTGATTACTCGGGTGAAGGGCCCATAAGATGAATTCAATTATGAAAACTGTCCATTCAAGATGTTATTCAGCAAAACAAAAATCGCAATGAGATTGTATTTCATAGACCTACCTCATTTGTATATCGCATTTTGATGGATGCGTTATACTGTAAGCATAAAATTTCTTTCGACGGCAGGGCAAATTGGTCAAGTCTTCTGGTCAATTTGGGCAAGTTGACCGGAAGATTCTTTGACAAAAGCAATGGCCAGCAAAATTTGGCAACCAATGTTCTTTCTGCCCTCAATTCGGTCCGTTTACGTCACAATTTATGCGATCTGTATACGTGCCTCAGATCACAGCGAAAACGCGGCAGAAAGCGCTTGATTTTTCCCGTTTTATCTGCAATCTCGCCTATAAAAGGAGGTTCGCGCCGATCTCAGAACCAAATTTCGATCAAAGATGAGCTCGAAAGCCGTATTCTTCTTGCTGTTGGTGAGTGCTGCTGAAGCTCAGATGGTGAGGAAATGTTTGTGCTCCGAGGTTCAGCCGTGCCGACAGGCCTACATCGATGGGGTGGCGCCGTGTGCGGACAAGTGCAAGGTGAGTTTTGGAGTAAATTTGGTATTAAAAAATAAATAAGGGATGGGGGAATGTTTCGGCAAAATTTGCATCGGCTATAACATATCTATTTTTTTCAAAAAATCTCGTTTTTCTTTAATCATCCCGAAAAATTGCCCGAGTTGATTTTGGTTGCTAGAAACTTGGGAAATGCTTAGGATTTTGAACGATTTTTGAGCAAAATTTCAAATTTTGCCATGGATAATATAAAAATTTTTGGAAAAACGGAGAAATTTCCGACGTATTTTGCATTTTAAGGCTTGAAGTTGCCTAAATTCGTCATTCATAGGCGTTTTACTGTATTTTAGAGCCTTGAAACAGAATGCCAAAAAATGGCGGGATATTTGAATTTTTGCATTTTTTTGACCCCGAAGGGTTTGTGAACGATAGAAGGTGTGTTTACATTTTGCTTTCAGAAATTCGCCGTCAAAGCGGGCGTCAACTTCGACAGGATCAAACGATGCACCACAGATTTCAGCCAATACCTCAACGAGACGATCCGCTGCATCGACAACACCTACGCCGATAGCTGCGCCACCGAATTCACCGACAAACGATTGCCCAAGCGGCATTCCGAGCTGCTGAAAGCGTCGTTTGTGAACGAAATCACCAAGGATTTGGCGAAAAAGAACCTGTTAACGCAGTGGAATCGCCTGAACGCGCAACTGCGCAAGTATCAGAGCTGTATTAAGCTGTGTCTGGACATGCGGACTTCCCAATGCGATGAGAAGCTGGATTGTACGCTGGAATTGCCGGCCGACAAGCAGCTTATCGAGGACACAAGGAACTGTGTGGACAAGATTAATATCCCGCGCAAATGGTGCGAATGCGCTGTGGACAGCGGATTGAAAGATTTGAAGGAGATTTGTGATGTTTTCCGGAAGTAAAAAAGTGTAATTTTGACGGCAATTGGAAAGGTTGTGATGGTAATAAAGAACAGAATTAGTCTTGTAATTGTGTCGATTTTTTGAAAACATCAAAACGAAACTTTTTGAATAATTTTTTTTTACTATGTAACGGGCCTCATGTCAATTCCTTATATCAACTTGAGATTTTTAGGACACACTTTCCAATCGGTAAAAACAATGTATGAATTGTTTATAAAAACAAAAAAATATAGTAAAATCGTAAGTTACAATAATCATTGAGATCAATTGGAGGTTTTTAGGACAAGTTCTAGGCAAGCAGGGGCTCTAAGCAAGATTTAAGGCGGCTAAAATACAAAAAAAAAACGATTTTAAAAACTACAAAAAATAAATATTTTGAAACTTCAAAAGATAAAAATTAAAAAAAAATAAGAAATCTCAAAAATCTAATAGAAATAGTCATGATAATCCTTCAAAATGCTCTTCGATAAGCAGCACGCAAAGCAGATCCCGACCACCTGCACCGCCCCAATCACCGCCGAGATTCCGCCGACGATCGCAGCGTTCGTCAGAATCCACTTCTGGACCGCCGAAATGCAGCCGGTCTCGTGGAATGAAGGGGTCGCCATTCTGGCGCAGCCCGCGTGGAAGTGCGTGCAACAGGAGTCGGGGACCGCCCGCCAGTCGCTCGCGTTGTTCACGCCGCAACACTCCAGCTCGCGTTGCGTCTCGTCCCAGGCGAGCGCCACGCCTCGCGACTTGTTGTAGTTTTGGAGGCCCTGAAAAAAATTGAAAGCGTAACTGGGATATTTGAAGGAATTTTAGAGAAATTATAGAGTGAAATTTCAAATGTTAAGACTTTTTGAAAATACCATTTTGGTCAAACTTATAGTCATTGGTAAAAAGTATTAAAAACTCGTTGGAATTAATTTTTTATGACCTCATTTGGAGCAAGTTTCCCGGTCAGATTGGGCAAGATGACCGTCTATATTTCAAGTTCAAAATATTACATATCAATCTGTCGGGGAAATAATGTGGATTTGTCGCTGCAAAATGTCTCACCTCGTCGCAGCCGCGCATCAAATCTCCAGCTAGCCGTCGCAAAGCGGTTTTGGGCAATTTCTAAGTCTCAACGAATCCACATTATTTTCCCGACAGACTGATAATTTTTGTCATCCTACCAAAAAATGACCGGTCAATTTGTCAAAAAATGACCGTTCATAGAAACTACATTCCAACCTAATTTTACCAACGGCTGAACAAGACCAAGTTTGCCAGGCAACTGGCCCAAAATGACCAGTCAAACTCTATGTTTGACCGATTTTTTGCCAAAATTTTGTCGAAGACTTAATCCTACCGGCAAAATCAAAAAAAAAATTATTTTTCAAGCTGCCCTATCGTCTTGACCGACCTGCCCGCCAAGTTCATCAAATTAGACCCCTATTCCCACAATTCTTACCTGTGTCAGCTGATTGATCAGCGCATCATGCAGCGGCTCGTGCAGCGCGTACGCTGCGATTGCTGCCGCTGTCTCCGTCAACAGCAGCAATGCTAACAAGACCGCGAAGCTGACTGTGAGACAATAATTCTCGCGGATGGCGCCACAGCATCCCAGGAATCCGAGCAACGCGCAAATGCAGCCGGCGCCGAGAAGAAGGATCGGCGTGGCGAGCCGTTCGTCGCCCAGGATGTCGAGAAGACCCGTGTATTTGAGTTGAAGCACTGCGCCGGTGATGATTAGCCCGAGCCCGCATACCTGAAACAGGGAGTTTGGTTTGGGTGGAGAAAGATGTAAAGGGGAATGTTTTAGAGAAATAGGATGCTATCTGGAAAATAATGAGTACTCAGCGGCGTTGAAAATCGCATCGCCACCGAGAAAATGAATTGTGTCGCGACGAAATCAAATTGCTTTTCACTTCAGCGATGTGATTGACACAGCGACATTGTGTTTACTACGGTCCGGACAGAAAAAAAAGTTCAAAAGATGGGTTTTTTCGAATTCTCTGGTTATGCCCAACAACATAACCGTTCGCATGACCGATCTGACCGATCATGAGCTAAAACGTCATGTTCAAGGAGGAATTTTTGAAATTCCTTCCAAAGTTTTTGAGTTAGCGGAATCTTGAGCGGTCAGTTTGAAACGAAGGGAAGTCGTTCAGATCGCAAATGAGTTGAGCTATGGACCGGTATATTCTGATTCTCCATATTCGAAAACGGTAAGAGCTAAAACAGTTTTTCCGTCTGGGCCCTAGTTTTCGAGAAAATCGACCGTAAAGTTTGACCCCGCTAAATAGTCCTCGCTCCGAAAGGCCTTTGGAACAAGAGCCAAATGGCGGAGGGCGAGTGAAAACGCTCTCAAAATTCTTTTGTCCGGGATGCCGGGGAAGGTTCGAGTCCCGCTAGGAGCAAACCATGATGTATAAATTCATAGTAGTTGCAACACAAAAAAATAAATTTTTCCTTTTACATACTTTGGAGAAAATATTGAAATGTATGCCAAATAAGCATATTTCTGCGCTGAACTCAAAAATGAAGTGTTTATTCTTAAAAAAAACTATTTGATCTGAAATTATTGGGGTACACTTCAACACAAAAAACTAAAAAAATTTTATTTTTTTTTTATTTTCGATAACAAAGCTCTTTGGAAATGGGTTTGAGCCTAGCGGGACTCGAACCTTCCCCGGCATCCCGGACAAAAGAATTTTGAGAGAGTTTTCACTCGCCCTCTGCCATTTGGCTGATGTTCCAAAGGCCTTTCGGAGTGAGGACTATTTAGCGGGGTCAAACTTTACGGTTGATTTTCTCGAAAACTAGGGCCCAGACGGAAAAACTGTTTTAGCTCTTACCGTTTTCGAATATGGAGAATCAGAATAAACCGGTCCCACAGCTCAACTCATTTGCGATCTGAACGACTTCCCTTGTTAGAATGGACATTTCCATGTGTCAAATCCCAAAAACCCCAAAAAATGAAAAAAAACCACAAAAACTCACCCATAAAATAAAATTTGCCAGGAAAAGGAGGTATTTTACCAACGTCACGCCACCTTCCACCATCACGTGTTGTTGGCCGTGGAAGTTACCGTCTGAATGTTGTTGCGAATCCGGCTTTCGGTTTCTGAAAAAAGATGTTTCTGAATTGCGTCGTTTATATCGCTGCACAGTGCGTTCTTTATTCGCACCATGCAGATTTTTGTATCGCGCAAATCACCTCGCATACTATGCAAAAACATGTCAAGACGCCTTGACCCACTCAAAGCACCTCTATTCCCATCTAGGACATCCCCAAACTCCCCCCAGAAGCGCCGCTAACTGGACATAAACAACTTGGCCGCCCAGCCTCTAAAGACTCTGTGATTCCGTTTTGAAAGCGGCCTCCAAGGCTTTGTTAAATGCCGTTCCATTTCCAATCTTTTTCATCTGGAAGTCTCGTTTTCGTCGGATTTGGGAATCGCGTTAAAAAAAAGTCTAGGAGAAGGCTTTCGGGGCCGTCGCAATTCCAAATGCCTCATCCGCCAAATTGGAGGGGAATTCCAAAAAAAGACTCGCCTGGAAAGGGCAGAAATTCAAAGTAAATGGGACATGCAGGGTGGCCACAAAAACCGCAACCCATATTTATTGCTATGCTGTAAACAGAATACCGAATTTTGCGCGCCCGGTCTCGTTGGGTCATCAGCAGTTAGGGTCAACTCAAAATCATTAGATACGAAGGGCGTATGAGCTGAATTTTTTTTGTAATTTTGGCAAAGCATAAGCTAAACTTTGTAGAGCCTAACTTGTGGATGATTTTGATTGTTCATGCTAAATTTGAAGAAAATCCGAGAGTCCCCTTTGAGAAACTTCAAAAAAGGTCTAAAAATGAACATCCATTTTGATGAGTCTTTAAAAAATCCCCATGTTTTCGTTTCTCTGGCAAAGCGCAAGCTAAAATTTGCCGAACTTGTTTTGTGGACAATCAGATTGCACATGCAAAAATTTGAGAAAAATCAGAGGGAACACCTTTGAGAACTTTCAAAAAAAGGAAGGTGAGGCATAGGTTTTTGATGAGTCTTTAAAAAATCCCCATACTGTGGCTTTTCCATCAAAGCGCAAACTAAAACTTGGAGGGCCGAACTTTTAGACTATGTAGATTATATATGTAAAATTTGAAGAAAATTCGAGAGTAACCCTCTGAGAAATTTCGAAAAAAGCAAAATGAGGCTCCAATTTGATGATTTTCAAAGAAATCCACACATTTCAGCTCTTCCTGCAAACCGTAGACTAAAATTTGGAGAGCCTAAGTTGTGGACAACCTGGAATGACCGTGCCAAATTTGAAGAGAATCCGACTGTACCCCTTAGAGAAATTTCCAAAACATTGGAAAATGCGCGTCACTCTTGATGATATTCAAAGAAATCCCCATATTTCCGCTTCTCCTGGAAAGCACAAACTAAAATTTGGAGTGTCTAACTAGTAGACAATGTAGAATGACTATGCCACATTTGAAGAAAATCCGAGGGTACCCGAATAAGAAATTCCTAAAACATTAAGCAACAGGAGACACAAAGTTTGATGATTTTCAAAGGAAACCCCATATTTCGGCACTTCCTGCAAAGCCGAAGCTAAAATTTGCCGAGCCTGATTTGTGGACCATGTAGATTGTGTATGAAAAATTTCATGAAAATCCGAGGCTACCCTGCAGAGAAATTTCAAATAAAAGTCAAATAAAAGCAAAGGAAGACACAAAGTTTGATGATTTTCAAAAAATTCCTCATATTTCTTCTTCCTCTGCAAACTGAGAGCTAAAATTTACACCCCATAACTTGTAAAAAATGTGAAATCAACATGCCAAATTTGAAGAAAATCCGGGGGTACCCCTCTGAGAAATCACCAAAAAATTTAAGCCCTCCATTTTGATGATTTTTCAAAACAAAATCTCCCATAACTCCACAACAACCAAATAAAAAATGAACGATCCGAGCCCTTCGGCGATTATTACATTACATTACTATCCGCGAAAAATGGAATTGGAGGGAGCTCCTTTTCGGCGTTTTATTTCACACGATAACCAAATATCTTCGAAGCGGAAAGTAAGACACAAATTATATCCACTCCGAGGGAAGCGAGTGGGTAAAAACAACAAAATTTTTTGCGGAGAGGCACTCGGCGACGAGGAGAGGAACGTGTTTTTTGATTAGGGTTGGTAATGAAATGACGAGAGTAATGGCTAATATAATATATGCGTACAAGAAAAGGTCAGGGTGTGCAAACAAAGAGAATTATGGAAATTTTGACTTTTTCTAGAGCAATGAAATTTCTCACAAGGAAAGTACTTTTATGGGGGCTCCTACTTTTTGACGGGACCTATCTCAAAAAATCAGAAAAAATGTGCTGATCAAGGATATATAAGTCTTAGCTGCCCATTTTAGGTTTTTAGGGGTGAAAACTCAATCGGAAGTTGACTTAAAGTCCTATATGAACCCCTGTTCGCTTAATTTTTCACATGTTTACAATTTTTATTTTGGCTTAAAATGATGCTTATTGAGTTTTTAAGACGTAATAAATCAGTCTTGGCACAAAAATTTAATTTTCCAACCTTCAACTTCAAAAAAAGTTGATTCAGCCCAAAAGGGAAATCGAACCCGTGCGGCGTCCTCTCTCTTGATTCCCAGACTACGGCACTAACCACTCGGCCACACCGCTCTCTTCCGAAGGAAGAGACCGGCTGCGCTTTTTATCGTTTCGAATGCCTGCGCCTTTTGTAGGGAAATTAAGCCAGTTTTTGGGCATTTTCACCCATAAAAACCTAAAATGGGCAGCTAAGATTTATATATCCTTGATCAGCACATTTTTCTGATTTCCCGTCAAAAAGTAGGAGCCCCCATAAAAGCACTTTCCTTGTCAAAATTTTGTTATTTTTTCTCTAAAAGCCTGTCGGGAAAATAATGATCACATCACTGAGCCAATCGTGTCGCTGAAGTGAAAAGCTTGATTTTGTCGCGGCACAATTCATTTTCTCAGCGGCGATGCGATTTTTGATGCGACAGAGTGCTCATTATTTTTCCGACAGACTGATACACTTTTCCAAAAAAGAAAGCCATACAACTAACCCACTTTTTGAAAAGTGCAGACAAGAAGTACTATATTTTGGAAGGAACCCCTGCAGGGCAACTAGGCATTTCCAAAATTCTTCGGCCCAGTTCTGGGCTTTGATTTTCAATCCCGGGTCCGGCTTTTAAAAGAAATTTTGGATTTTCGGAGAATTTTCAATAAAATGGCAGAATGTGCAGAATTTGAAAAAAGCACTCAAAAATGTTTCAGAACTACATTAACAGGGGAAGTACCCCAAGTGCGACGCTCAGATTTTGATGAAACCCGGCACAAATTTAGAATAATTTTTTCTAAGATATATGCGAGAATCCTAGCTCGCGCTTTGCAGAAACTACCGAGATTTTTAGATCGAAAGTCGGCGAAAATTTATGAATTTTCGCCGAATTTCGGCACGAAAAGTTTCATGCCTATTTCTACCGTAAAGGATAAAGTTTCTACAAAAAATCCAATTTTTCCGCACGAAACTGCCAAAGTTATAGCCAAAAAGCGTTTTTCTCTCTGACCGCTCTCCACGTTTAGCGTGCTCTCTCGGCGGCATAAATCGTCCGATATCTCGGCGGCGCACGCAAAGCGCGAGCTAAAACTTTCAGGAATTGATGTTTAGCCTATCCCCGACGTGTGTGCGAAATTTAAAGAAAATCTGAGCGTCGCACTTGGGGTACTTCCCTTGTAAGAAAACAAAAGATACCTGGTCTACAGAAAGAGCAATGCATGTAGAAATCCAAGAGTTTCTTAGCATCCAAGAAAGAAATCCGTTACAGTAGTTTCGGCAAACATATCATCATTAAAGTACCCTCAAATCTTCAAAGAAAAGTTCAACTATCAATTTTTCTATCAAAAAGTCCGAAATTTCAAAAAAAAAATTCCAAAAAAATGCCTAAAAGTGGCCCGCAAAACGCGCTGTTGTCCGGCAGCCCCACTAAATCACCCAATTCGAAGTGAAATCCGACCCGTTTCCCGCACCGCAAAAAAACCGGAAAACAAAACTTGGCGGCCGAAAAGGGGGGCGGAGTCGCGGTCACGCGTCAATCCGGACGCCCTGCGGGCATCCTCGTCTTTCGTGGCAGACACCCGCAAAAGAAGCGGACAAGAAAAATGGATTTGCATAGGCTTCTTCAAGTGGCTTCGGCTTCGAATGAAATTTCTTGGGGCCGCTTCTTTTTGGGGGTGGGGGATGCGCTCCGGTTCAATGACACTCGGATCGAGGGCCGCGGGGAGGGATTGGCGCCTCTCGAAACGTTGGGGGAATTAACCGAGAAAGAGGCAAAGTGCGACGCGCCGATTTTTTTAAATTAAAATGGAAATTTGCGCGAGTTTAGATGGAGAAATTTTTTTTGGACATGTGTAATGATTTCTGTCGGGAAAATAATGAGAAAAATGTCATTGCGCCAATCATATCGCTGAAGTGAAAAGAAATATGATTTTGCCGCGACACAATTCGTTTTCTCGACGGCGATGCGATTTTCGAAGCCGCAGAGTACTCATTATTTTCCAGACAGGCTGATATGTAACTCTCAGCTCGCGGAAAAAACCAAGATTTTTTGCTCCGAAAGTCGGCCAAAATATGACATTTTTTGTTTGAAAATTTTTGCAAGAAAAGTTTCGTGGTTATTTTTTACCGTAAAAAGAATTATTTTTTTCTTCTCGTAACTGGCAAAGATATGACCAAAAAAGCCTTTCCCAGCGACCATTCTCCGCGAGTCACGCACTCTCCCGGCGCCAAAGATCGCTGAATAACTCGGCCGCCCTAGTTGGGCTTGAGCTAAAAGTTTCAGGGCTTGAAATTTGGTCTATGCCCAAAGTGTGCGCCAAATTTTAAGAAAATCTAACAGGGGAAGTACTCCAAGTGCGACGCTCAGGTTTTGATGAAACTTGGCACAAATTTTTTCTAAGATATATGCGAGAATTCTAGCTCGCGCTTTGCAGAAACAACCGAGATTTTTAGATCGAAATTCGGCGAAAATTTAGGACTTTTTGTCGAATTTCGGCACGAAAAGTTTCATGCCTGTTTCTACCGTAAAGGATAATGTTTCCACAAAAAATCAAAATTTTCCGCACGAAAATGCCAAAGTTATGGCCAAAAAGCGTTTTTGTCTCTGACCTCTCCCCACGTTTAGCGTGCTCTCTCGCCGGCAAGAATCGTTCGATATCTCGGCGGCGCCTGCAAAGCGCGAGCTAAACCTTTCAGGAATTGATGTTTAGTCCATACTCGACGTGTGTGCAAAATTTAAAGAAAATCTGAGCGTCGCACTTGGAGTATTTACTTCCCCTGTAAGCATCGCACTTTGAATACCACTCTTGCAAAATTTGAAAAAAAAGTGTTTGAAATTTTTGATCGTATCCAGTCTGTAGGGAAAATAATGTGGATTTGCCGGAGCAAAAAGTCTCGCCTCGAGCCAAATCTGACCAAATCCCCAGCCGCGGCTGGCCGTCGCTTTAGAAAGGATGGGCAATTCCAAAGCGAGACAATCCACATTATTTTCCCGACAGACTGATATAATTGCACTGGTAAGATTGGAGCACCTAAAACAATATCAAAATCAATAAAAACAGATTGAATTTGAGGCAATAATCATCTCCACAACAACTCATCAGTAAATTTATTCCGATGAGTAACTGCAAATCGTATTTTAAGTCTTTCTCGGGGTGGTCGAAGTTCCTTCGACCATCACAACATTCGGCTGTGCAGGCGGAGTGTATGAGTATTGCGGAGGCTGTTGTTGATATTGTGGCTGCATTTGAGGCTGTTGTTGATAAAATTGGCCGCCCGGGGGATTGTAGCTTTGCGGAGGCGGCTGCGCGACCATCGGCTGATCGACTGGGACTACTACAGGGCGCGGTCGTCGCTGAAAAAATTGTGAATTAATGTAAAATATGGTAAAATTTTCGAGTAGAATTTAGTGTAAGCTATGGCTACGGAACATTTACAGTAGGTGAAATATAAAAATAAGTTCTGAATTTGGCAAAAATTGAGGGGAAATGAGATCTTTTATCGTAATTTAGGCCATTTTTTGATGACTAAAAAATATAATATTTTTGCAAAATTCACAAAAAAATTATCGTAGCCGGCTAATAGCTTCTCATGGAAATTGAAGACCAAGTCCGATATTTGTTACAAATAGGTATACAACCTCAATTCCAACCTTATTTTAGACAAAAAATCAAGTTTTCTCTCAAAATTCTTCAAAAACAGTCAATTTTTTTAAAATTTTTTTGCAATTTCCGGCCCCAAAATAATGTTGAAGAAACTTGAGTCCACGTATTTTACCCCAACAATAAAAAAATTGAATTTAAAATCATCCTTACACAGCAGCAACTGGAACAAATGATGAATCCTATGAAAGCCAAGACAAAAAGACTACCTCCAGCTGAAAAGGCGCCTTAAAACAGAATCGATTTATGCTCCAACAATACCAAACTTACCACTATTGCAGCTCCAACAAAATCCGCTTCTCTAAAAAAATAAAAAATTTATTTTACGATTAGTCATCATATTATACTACTGTAGACCAGTGAAAATGCCGGTTAAAATTTTGTACAATGAGTTAAAATTTTCTTACATTGATATGCGTCACAGACAGACGATGTATGAAAAATTTGAAGAAAATCAAAGCCTCACAATAAAAAATAATTTTTGCAAGCTGCGCCCGAGACTTGACAAAACTTTAATTTATATGTCGAATTGAAAGTCTGAAGCTTTTTTTGGAATGGAGGATTCAGAAAATGGAGAAAAATTCGACTGGTAGCCTGAAAAAGGAGTTCCGAGGTAAAACTCGGGCGCAGCTCGGAAAAATTATTTTTTTTGAACGAGTTTAAAATGGGTAAAAAATTTAAATTTTGCTTCCAAAATTGACAGAAATCAACTGGTAGCTAGAAAAACGAGTTCCGAGTTAAGGCTCGGGCGCAGCTTGAAAAAATTCTTCTTTATTTGAACGAGTTAAAAATGGGTACAAAACTTAAATTTTGCTTCCAAAATTGACAAAAAATCCACTGCTAGCCAGAAAAACGAGTTTCGAGGCAAAGTTCGGGCGCAGCTCGGGAAAATTATTATTTTTTGAATGAGTTAAAAATGGGTAAAAATGAATTTTGCTTCCAAAATTGACAAAAAATCCACTGCTAGCCAGAAAAACGAGTTCCGAGATAAGGCTCGGGCGCAGCTCGAGGAATTATTATTTTTTGAATGAGTTCAAAATGGGTAAAAAATTTAAATTTTGCTTCCAAAATTGACAGAAATCAACTGGCAGCTGGGAAAAACAAGTTTCGAGGTGAAGCTCGGGCGCAGCTTGGAAAAATTATAATTGTTTGAATGAATTAAAAACCAGAATGTCGGGGGTCCCTGCGGGACCCCTCCATTCTGGCACGTTCAGAAAACTTTTAATCAGAACTTTTTTGAAATTTTAAGATATTTTGAGGGTCGGGCGCCTTCGGCACCCTCACTCGCGCTGAAACTGCCGTTGACTTTATGCAGAGACGCTCGGGGGCCCTTCGGACCCCTTCGCGTATATTTTTCATTAGTTCATACAGTCAAAGGCAGAATTCGCAGAGATCCCAAAAAAATTTCACACTGCACACGCAGAGAAAGAAGCCGACCGCACAACACACTTATCTTCTCACATCCTGTTTTTTGATTCCAAAATTGAGAAATGAAATTGAATTTTCCCACAAAATGCTGAAATTGACCGATTTTTTGCTTCGAATTTTCCAAAATGAGAATAGATCGGCTTCATTTCGAGCGGCCGGAACGACAGACAGGAATTTCTTTTGCATTATTGAACGGGGATGGGTAAAAAAATTGAATTTTGCTTCCAAAATTGCCAAAAATTAACTGGTAGCTGGAAAAAACGAGTTTCGAGGCAAAGCTCGGGCGCAGCTTGGAAAAATTATTTTTTTTTGAATGAGTTCAAACGGGTAAAAAATTTAAATTTTGCTTCTTAAATCGACAAAAATCCACTGGTAGCCAGAAAAAACGAGTTTCTAGGTAAAGCTAGGGCGCAGCTTGGAAAAATTATTATTTTTTAAATGAGTTCAAAACGGGTAAAAATGAATTTTGCTTCCAAAATTGACAAAAAATCCACTGCTAGCCAGAAAAACGAGTTCCGAGATAAGGCTCGGGCGCAGCTCGAGGAATTATTATTTTTTGAATGAGTTCAAAATGGGTAAAAAATTTAAATTTTGCTTCCAAAATTGACAGAAATCAACTGGCAGCTGGGAAAAACAAGTTTCGAGGTGAAGCTCGGGCGCAGCTTGGAAAAATTATAATTGTTTGAATGAATTAAAAATGGGTAAAAATTTTGAATTTTGCTTCCAAAGTGGCCAAAAACTAACTGGTAGCTAGAAAAACGAGTTCCGAGGTAAGGCTCGGGCGCAGCTTGGAAAAATTCTTTTTTTTTTCTGAATGGGCAAAAAGTCAAGTTTTGCCCCTAAATAGAGTTTAGGGGCTTCAGCAATACTTACATGGACATGGACATGATGATGGCCGTGATGATGATGGTTGTGCAACAACTCCAACTTTTCCATCTCCTTGCCAGTGGTGTTCTTCGACTCGATCGGCTCAATCTCCATCGTATTGTTCCGACTTGTATTCTCATCGTATTTGATGGGAACGGCCGAAGCTTGAAGAGAATTCAGAAGAAGAGCGAACAAAATCAAGGCTAAAATACGACATTGAATATGGATTACACAAAAAAACTACGGGAAAATCTGATCCATGGCAATTTATATGGGAACATCGACAGGTTTAGGGGGAGAAATCGACCGGTAAATAGAAAAAAATTGACTGGGAAAATGAAAAAAAAACTTAAAAAAGTGAGAAAAATCGACTGAAAAATTGAAAAAATGGTCGATAAATTTTAAAAAGTCGACCGAAAAATTTAAAAAAAACCAAGATTTCACGAAAATAATTTTTTATGAATTAATTTTTATGAAAAATCAAATATGTAAACTTTATTCAGCATCAAGTTTACTGCCAACCAAACAAATCTTCAGCACCTTTCAACCACCACAATCTTCTGTTGGGGCGGTGGCGGAGGTGGCGGCGGCGGGGCCTGTTGATAGATTATTTGAGGCTGTTCACAGCTAACGACGCTGTCATCGCAGTGGTAGGGGTCGCCACAACACCACTAGAAATGAAAAAATTAAAAAATAGAAAAAACGGTCGATAAAATGGTCGATTTTCCAATTTACAAAAAAAATTTTAATATTAAAATAAAAAAATGGTCGATAAAATGGTCGACTTCCCAAATCCCAAAAAAAAAATTTAAAATTAAAAAATAGAAAAAATGGTCGATAAAATGGTCGGTTTTCCAATTCACAAAAAAAAATTTAAAATTAAAAAATAGAAAAATGGTCGATAAAATGGTCGATTTTCCATTTACAAAAAAAATTTAAAAAAAAAAAATAAAAAATGGTCGAAAAAACGGTCGATTTCCCAAATCCCCAAAAAAAATTAAAATTAAAAAATAAAAAATGGTCGATAAAATGGTCGATTTTCCAATTTACAAAAAAATTTTTTAATACAAAAATAAAAAAATGGTCGATAAAATGGTCGATTTCCCAAATTACAAAAAAAATCAACAAAAATGTTACAACAACCTACCGCAAAACCTCCAAAGCAAGCAGCGACAACAATGACAACGAGCAGGATCAAAACAAAGAGGCCAACTCCACCGCCAATCCAGTAGCCTGAAGTAGAGTAAAAATTGGAAAAAATTACTTCAAAAATCCCAAAAAATGGGAAAAAGGAACTTACCTCGATGGCCACAGTACCAGCAGCCGGTGTGAATCACGGCAAGGTGCTAAAATACGGGGGAAAATTATTTTAAAAAAAAACTGTTGGAAATAGGGTTTTTCCGAAAGCGACGGAATTAACAAACAAAATGCACGGTGCGGAGTCGCTTCTGCGAAGAAGCTTCTCAGGGTTTTTTGCACATTGAAAATTTGAAAAAAATGCCAAAAAATCAAAAAAAAAGGCGACCTCTGGCCAACTTTCAACCTAAATATCTCGGTTCTTTCTGCAAGGCACAGCCTGCCCTTTCTGACAAATGTTTTTCAAAATATTGCTCTAAATCTGTGCCAAGTTCCATTCAAATCTAAGCATCGCATTTCGAGTACCATCACTTTGAACTCACCTGATGTCCGGGAGCAGTAGTAGTGTTCGGTGGGCTAAAAAGTATTATATTTTTTATGCAAGATATGACATTTTCTTTTTACTACTCAGCGTAGGAAATGTTCAGTGTCCTCAGAGAATGAGGACACTGAAGATAGTTGCCGTAAAGTTAAACAGGTTTCCTGAAAGGTTCAGAAGCCCCTTTTTGAAGTTTTTTGAAGGCCTACTACCGTAACTCTGAAAGCGGTGGATGAATTCAATATATTCGTCCAATTATCTATATCAGAGAGTTGCCAGTGCAAAATTTCTATCATACTACGTAGATTAAGGTAGAAAATCTTAATTCTTATCGGTAATTCTCTAAATCTCGGTTGCTAGTAAGAGTCGCAACGCTTAGACTTACAGGGGAAGTACTCCAAGTGCGACGCTCAGGATTTTCTTTAAATTTTGCACACACGTCGGATATGGATTAAGTATCAATTCCTGAAAGTTTTAGCTCGCGCTTTGCGGGCGCCGCCGAGATATCGAACGATTTTTGCCGCCGAGAGAGCACGCTACACTGCAGGATGAGCCAAGTCTTTCTCCTTGGATGGTCAAGTCTCCCTCTCAAATTTTTATTTTTTCAAGATTAATATAAATGTCTTTATGTTTTAATCTACATATATGGACAGGACAATAACTCAAAAAGTAAGTTAAATTATCTCTCTTTCTGACTATACAAAACTTTTTTCGATTACATATTGTTATTATTGCGCATTTAGGCATTATAGAAGGTGCATAAATTTAGGTAAATGCTGTTCGTTCTTGACATTAGACGAACAACATTCGAAAGTCTTACCCCAAAAAAGAACTGCCGTCGAGCCTTCTTCGTGCCAAAATTATTTCAGCATGAAAATGATCTACAGTTTTTTTGTTGATTAGATTTTTGATATTACACTAGGTACTTTTGTAAGTTTAAGGCGAGATTAGGTCACGTTTTACGTCATATAAGGTCTAAATGGACAATAAAACTTTCTTTTAACATTCTTAACGTCGTAACAGTGATTTCCCCTTTTATTGTCGTTTTTGATTTTTTTTCAGATTTTAGGTATGGAACAATTTTTATGTATCCGCGGCCATAGATGCGTATTAATACTTCGCAAACCATATTTCAAAGGTCCCTGGTCGATCTAAAACATGTTTAAAACAGTATGAGAGGTATTTGAGACTTTTTTAGATCCAGGTTGTACTTGATCACTTACACCCTAAGACATCTCAAACCCTGGTTTGAAAGAATATTTATGTTGGTGACGGTTTAGTAATGGCTCAGCTTTGTAGTTTTCCGGGTTTAAACTTCAAAAACATTAGATTTTGCCTGCAACTTGACAAAAGTACCTAGTGTAATATCAAAAATCTAATCAACAAAAAAACTGTAGATCATTTTCATGCTGAAATAATTTTGGCACGAAGAAGGCTCGACGGCAGTTCTTTTTTGGGGTAAGACTTTCGAATGTTGTTCGTCTAATGTCAAGAACGAACAGCATTTACCTAAATTTATGCACCTTCTATAATGCCTAAATGCGCAATAATAACAATATGTAATCGAAAAAAGTTTTGTATAGTCAGAAAGAGAGATAATTTAACTTACTTTTTGAGTTATTGTCCTGTCCATATATGTAGATTAAAACATAAAGACATTTATATTAATCTTGAAAAAATAAAAATTTGAGAGGGAGACTTGACCATCCAAGGAGAAAGACTTGGCTCATCCTGCAGTGCGCTAAACGCGGAGAGCGGTCAGAGAGAAAAGCGCTTTTTGGCCATAACTTTGACAGTTTCGTGCGGAAAATTTTGATTTTTTGTAGAAATATTATCCTTTACGGTAGAAATAGGCATGAAACTTTTCGTGCCGAAATTCGGCAAAAAAAATCCTAAATTTTCGCCGACTTTCGATCTAAAAATCTCGGTTGTTTCTGCAAAAACGCGAGCTAGGATTCTCGCATATATCTTAGAAAAAATTGTTCTAAATTTGTGCCAAGTTTTATCAAAATCTGAGCGTTGCACTTGGAGTACTTCCCCTGCTAGTCTACGGTTACACTAGCTTTGGCTGAGGCTTCTATCTTTTTCCTGTGCGCAGCTCGCATTGACTTATCATTTTTTTGGAGTGTTGGCCAATCTGCAGAACTTTTTCCTCCATCCCTGTTCAGTGAATCCAAAGTTTGGTAAAAGTTCCTTATTTTGGCCACAACTTATAACTTTGCGGAAACTGGTCGGAATTAGCCCAAATTTAGCGTGCACGCTCAATTCATCGTTGTCAATGCCCGGACAGTGGATTTAGTTAGTGAGGTACCTTCTTTTTTACGTACCACCTTACCCTTCAAAAACGGCTGCAGCCTGTGATTTTACACTTTATACGATGAAACATGTCCGGAACTAAACGTATTGCCTCCGTATGGAACTAAACGCGTCGTCACAGCCTTCGAAGGTACCCTTAAAACTATAGAGCTATTATAGTTATTCAGTGCCAGCTAGGTTGAACCGTTTTTTCCTAACTTTAATGCCCACGCTTGGGCGCAGTTCGCGGAGTACCTTTGTTGTGGCCAAAATAAGGAACTTTTTCTGAGATTTTTAAACTTTTTCCTCCGTCCCTTCTCCGTGCAAGTTTTATACCAAAACCTACCTCGTATTACTACTCTGATTCCCGTGATTATGATGATGATGATGAACCTCAATTCCAACTGAAGGAATAGGAGGAGGAGGATGGTGATGGTGAGGAGGGTGATGGTGATGATGAGGAGGGGGGTGATGATGATGTCCAACACCGCCTGGTCCATGAGCATGAGGCCGGACTGGCACTCGGCCTTGGCCATGGTTGTGACCTCGACCTTGGACAGGACCTGGACCATGATTATGACCTCGACCAGCACGACTTCGACCACCACTCCGACCTCGACCCCCACGACCATGTTGAGCATCGACAAGCTCGGCTGAGATGACCAGGAGAAGGAAAACTGAAGAAATGACATTACTCTGTAAATGAGACAACCAAAAAGCATGTATTAGTTGGATTACCCGCTACATCCTTGCGCATTCTGCCAGCCAAGAGTGCGTCGGACCTACCGACTGGTCAAAGAATTGTGAAATAAAAATTTTTGATGATTTTTGGAAAATTTTTGTTTCGATTTTTTTCTCTGATTTATGGGAAGAAAACATTTTTTTCGGGTTTTCCTTGACGTGTCTCTGCTAAATCGACCGGTAAATCCTGAAAAATCGACCGGCAAATATGAAAAATTTGACTGGTAAATTTAAAAAAAAATCCGGACAAACTTTGAAAAATCGACCGGTAAATTCAAAAAAAAAATCAACCGATAAATCTTGAAAAATCGACCGGTAAATTTAAAAAAAAATCAACCGATAAATCTTGAAAAATCGACCGGTAAATTCAAAAAAAAAAATCAACCGATAAATCTTGAAAAAACGACCGGTAAATTCAAAAAAATCAACTGGTAGACATAAAAAAGCGACCGATAAATCCTGAAAAATCGACCAGTAAATTCAAAAAAATCGACCGGTAAATTGAAAAAAAATCGACCGATAAATCTTGAAAAATCGACCCGTAAATTTTCAAAGAAATCAAAATTCTATTTTCCTTGTAAAAAATCATTCTGTTTATTCAGCTTCAAATTCATTGCCAACTGAATAAATCCTCAGGCCTTTTCGACCATCACAATCCTCGGCCCTGGCGGTGGCGGCGGCGGTGGCGGCGGGGCTTGTTCGTAGATTACTCGAGGCTGTTCACAGATAACGACGGGCTCATCGCAATAGTAGGGGTCGCCACAACACCACTAGAAGTAAAAAAAATCAAAAAAAATTTAAATCGTTAATAAAAAATGGTCGAAAAAATGGTCGATTTCCCAAATTACGGAAAAATCAAAAAAAAAAAAAATGTTACAGCAACCTACAGCACAACTTCCAAAGCAAGCAGCGACAACAATGACAACGAGCAGGATCAAAACAAAGAGGCCAACTCCACCGCCAATCCAGTAGCCTGAAGTAATAAGCATGTGTTATAAAAGGACAAAAAATATTTCAAAATTCCCAAAAAATGGCACCAAGGAACTTACCTCGATGGCCACAGTACCAGCAGCCGCCATGAATAATAGGAAAGGGCTGAAATATGGAAAAAATATTATAAAAAATTTTGCCGCCATTACCCTCTATGATAGAAATAGCTACAGTGGCGGACCTAATCCAGTGGCAAAAACGTGCCATTTTGCTTCCGGGAAGTATCAAAAATGTAGAAAAATATCCCCAATTCCAAGTGAAAAAAGTGCGATTTCAAAAACGAGCCTGCTCTTTTTGGCATAGGGTCCCTTCAAAACAAAGTTTTTTAGTTGGAGAGGGAGGCATTTTGCTATATTTTTTGATACTTCCCGGATGCAAAATGGTACGTTATTGCCGCTGGATCAGGTCCGTCACTGTACCATACTTTTTTTGCTAAAATTTGCCAAAAAAAGGATATTGTTTTCAACTTTCGATTAAAAAATCTTGGACGTTTCCATAAGGCGCCAGCTAGTAATCTGGCATGTAAAGATGGTGACATACAAATCAAATTGGGTTTCGTCGCCAGAAACCGCGATTTCTTGTCTGTTAGGCCTCTAGACAAGAAATGCGCAATTCTTGTCTGAGCAGAGAAAAAAAGCAAAAAATCTTCACGGGGAGAGAGCAGAAATTTGCGCAATATTGAACAATGTTACGCAATTTCAGACAAGAATTACACATTTCTTGTCTAGCAACCTAACATACAAGAAATGGCGGTTTCTGGCCACGAAACCCGATTTGATTTGTATGTCACCATCCTTATATGTTCTCCATCGATCTTTAAAGATTAAAATCTAAATGTCGGCCAAGTTTCATTGCAATCAGAGTACCCTACTTTCAGCACCGTCCCTACGATCTTACATGCCATCCATGGTGATGATGATGCCAGCCGACATGTCCAACATGTACGTGTCCGTGGACATGCCCGTGGACATGTCCATGCCCGTGAACATGCCCATGAACATGCCCAACGGGTCGGACCGCCACTCGACCGCCCCAACCGCGACCAACATGACTGTGACCTCCTCGACCCCAACCACCACCACGACCGCCACGATGAGCGTCGATGAGCACGGCTGAGATGACCAGAAGAAGGAAGACTGAAAAAAATGAGAGTAACCTGTAAATTACACCACAAAAAATAATATAATAAATAGATGGATTACCCATTACATCCTTGCGCATTCTGCCAACCAAGTGCACTTCGAGACCACCGACCGGTCGAAGAAATATAAAATGAAATTTTTTGATGATTTATGGGCAATTTCATCATTTTTTCGATGGTTTTTTGTCGTTTCATTTCTTTTTTTCATTTTCTCCAATCTTTTGGAAGAAAATTTTTCAAATTTTCTTTTATTTTTTCTTGGCCTTCTCTACCAATCCACTTCAAAACGAGCCTTGGATGATCTCCCCTTCCGTCCTTTTACTATTATAATTGACTTATTTCTCGTTGATAATTATAATTGACTTTCTTTTCGTTGATGAAACAGGTGTTTTTGAGACTAGTGTTGACCGGTATAACCTGGAGGGATAACAAAAATATTTGTTCGGAAAAATTTCTGGACGAAAGGTCAAGTCAGCTAACTGGGCTTATATAGGGTATTCGCTGGGAGTTGGGCGTTGTAGAATGCTGCTGATGAGGCCATTTGGTGAGGTGTGGGGGAAAGAAAAGTGGACGTTGATGACAGATGCCAAGGGTTCCTGGACAGAGGCTGAGATGTCAAGAGGAGCTTAATCAAGCTATATAAATCTGGATGTCCAAGCCTTGTCTTAACAGGGGAACTACCCCAAGTGCGACGCACAGATTTTGATGAAACTTGGCACAAATTTAGAATAATTTTCTCTAGGATATATGCGAGAATCCTAGCTCGCGCTTTGCAGAAAAAACCGAGATTTTTTAGATCGAAAGTCGGCAAAAAATTGACGCTTTTTTGCCCAATTTTGGCACGTAAAGTTTCATATATACATAATTCTGCTATACTGTGAGAGTAACGTTTCCAGAAAAAAACAAAAATTTTTCATCCGAAATTAGCAACATTATGGCCAAAAAGTGTGACCGCTTTCCGCGTTTTGCGTACCCTCTCAGCCGAAAATATCGTTGAATATCTCGGCTGTGCCTGCAAAGCGCGAGCTAAGACTTTCAGTAATTGATATCTAGTCTATGCCCAACGTTTGTGCATAATTTAAAGAAAATCTGAGCGTCGTACCTGGGGTACTTCTCTGGTTAAATTTCAGGGTGTTCCAAAAAATGCGTGATAAAACTCGAATTTTACCCTCAATTTGTCTCAAATAACGACTTATTTTTAGGGGTTACAGGCTTTTTGAGCGCCGTATACACAGTGTATACTACATTCTTTTCGAAAATTAGATTTCCCTCGTCAATTAAGGTGTGGTCTGCATGTTTTCTGAACCCATTGATTATATAAAAATGGTGTTGAGTAATAATATGTTGAACCAAGTTGTCCTGGTGCCAAATGCTTGAACCCATACGCAACTTCCGTGTGAGGTAAAGACGAACCGACTTCGTACCGTAATTGTCAGGTGACATTCGGGTTGTTATATTCGGATGCTAATTATCGCTTGTTCCTACATAATTACATATTTCATCCTTTCGAAGACATAATATTTTCTCTGTAATCACAAGATTTCAGTCTAATAGCTTTGTTTTGTCACTGAATCATCATACGTAGGTTTTGGCTTAATATTTTTGATGATATTCCATCTATAGTATACGTAATATAAAATCAGCCTGTCGGGAAAAGAATGAGCTCTCGGCCGCATCGAAAATCGCATCGCCGCCGAGAAAGTGGATTGCGTCGCGGCTGAATCAAATTGCTTTCAGTTCAGCGACGGGATTGGCGCTGCGATATTGTGCTCATTATTTTCCCGACAGACTGCTGGGGCCAATGCGCTATCTGAAAGTTTGTTGAAAATCCTAGGGCGCAGCTCGGAGAATTTGCATGGGCGCAGCTCGCGTCTTGGGTGCAGCTCGAAAACAAGCCGAAACTTAGCTTCGGCGAGCTGCGAAAGCTTGTTTTCCGAGCTGCCCCCGAGATGCAAGCCACGCCCGTGCCAGTTTTCCGAGCTGCGCCCTACCATTTTCAGTTAATTTTGAGCAAACTTTCAGATAGCGCATTGGCTCCTGCTAACCCCATCCAAAAAGTCTTGAGAATTTTCTACGCTTCCGGATTGTGCACTTTCTTCTGTCGCACTCCGAAAAAACGATTTCCAGTGAGAATTGTTTTTACGAAGAGCGACGCAAGTTTCGTTGAAAATGTACGGTGCGGGCGGGCGCACACTTGCGGGCAACCACCTTGCGGGTAACCACTTTGCGGGCAGCCGACATTTGCGGCCAGCACCGGCATTTGCGGGCAGCCTGGGACATTTGCGGACAGGGTCGACAGTTGCGGGCAGCCTGGATTGTGAGGGTAACAGGGTGGAGGTGGAAAAATTACTATGATATTTTGGAAATTTGCCGACATTTGCGGGCAGCCGACATTTGCGCAACCGGCACTTGAGGATAACAAGGTGGAGATGAAAAAATTACGGCGATATTTTGGAAGTTTTCCGACATTTGCGGGCAGGCAATACTTGCGGGAAGCCGACATTTGCGGGCAACAGTTCCAAAAGTACCAATACAGTCTGTGTGGTTGTTTTTTCCTGTTGCCCGCAAATGTCGGCTGCCCGCAAGTGTCGGTTGCCCGCAAATGTCGGCAAATTTCCAAAATATCGGAGTAATATTTCCACCTCCACCCTATAACCCTCGGGTGCCGGTTGCCCGCAAATGTCGGCTGCCCGCAAGTGTCGGTTGCCCGCAAATGTCCCAGGCTGCCCGCAAATGTCTCAGCTGCCCGCAAATGTGACCCCCCAAATTTTGCCCGCAAAGTGGCTGCCCGCAAAAAATCTGCCCGCAAACTGGTTGCCCGCAAGTGTCGCTAAAGGCTTTTTGGACGGAGTTGTATACACTTAATATAATATAATACTTTCGCTACAGGCAAGTGATGGCGGAAGACTGTGTCGATCGTTGGAATCAAATTTGCTTCGGACTTATATCGCTGACCGCCCTTCTGGCCAACGTTCTCCTGTTCTTCTTGGTCAAGAACCGAACTCCGCAAATGATGTTGAGCTATCGGAAGGTGCTGTATGCTTCCTGTATTTTTGATGGGCTGGCGGCGCTGTCGCATCTGCTGATTAGCTCGGTGAGTTATTGATTGTACATACTATCAAAAGTTCTGGGAATTTTCCGCGCCTCTACACTGTGCATTTCGTGTGATTATTCAAGAAAAATTTTGCACCAAGCATATGGCTCAAAAAGTGAGTTTTGCCACTCCTACTTTTCCGAGCGGTAATTCAACACAACCTATTGTTATATCGCAGTCTGAGCAGAATTGGGACCACGAGACATTCCCAGGACTTTTTCGGCGAGAATATCGGTCTGTCGGGAAAATAATGAGCAAAATTTCGTGTCCAATTTCGCATTGCCGCAATTTTGCCGCGGCAAAATCAAATTGCTTTTCACTTCAGCGACGCGACCGGCAAGGCGACATTGTGCTCATTATTTTCCCGACAGATTGATATACTTATAAGAATTTACTTTTTTTTCAGCGCCCTTCGCTAGAAAAAGATATAGCGGTCATGCATTTTGACGGAGTTTTACCCCAAATTCTTGACCATTTCCATCTCCTCCCCAACGGCCAGCTGGCCTACATTCTAGCCTTTGAATCTGCGACACAGCTCAACACGTTCAGCTACTGCTTTGTCCCGTTTGCTTATCGTTACTTCCACATTGTTTGGTAGGTGATACCAAGTGACCTAGTGATGGCAAATGATGCCCATTTTTAGGCAGACCAATTTCAACAAGCTGAAATTTTTCGTTTTGTTGCTGGTTTACTTGTCGCCGACCACAATCGTCGCGATTACATTGCCAGTAATCGCCGCGACAACATACGATGACATGGTGAAGTTTGTTGGAGAAAGGAATGATGGGTGTCTGAGACGCGTCCCGTTCTACGATTGGCGATTTCTTCCGGTTGAGGTGAGGGAAATTTGGGGAGAATTTTTGTGTTTCTTGCCACAAAAAGTGCTGAAAGTTTTATGTGGACTCTGCACTAGGAAAAGATAAAAAAGGAATCTTGGATGTAAATTTTGAGTCAAAAATTTCCAGCCAACCGCTTCAATTGCCAAGAACAGCTACTACCCGCTGCTGCTGACGTTATTGTTTCCCTTTGTTCTCTGTTACTTCCTGATCCGCATCTTTCAAAAGCTGAATGAAGACGTCAAAAAATCTTCGATCGCAGCGCATCGAATGCAACGTCAAATCACATTGACTTTGACTGCGCAGGTAACTTTATATACTATAAGTATGTCGGGAAAATAATGTGGATTTATCGCAGCAAAATGTGACGCATCAAATCTCCAGTCGCGGCTAGTTGTTTGCAAAGCGATGATGGGCGGACAAATCCACATTATTTTCCCGACAGACAGATTCATGCGTATGTACAATATAAGCCCCAAAATTTTCAAAATTTCAGTCTGTAGTCCCTATAATTTTCGTCGCTCTCCCTTGTTTTTACGTCTCCTACAATCTAACACATGACAGAAACAAAGTGAATGCCCTTCAAGTGTTCTGTAATTCATTGAGTTTGGTGCCTCTGATCAACCCAATTACTACGATATTGCTGGTGAAAAACTATCGAAACGCGATCCGTCGAAGAATCGACTTCAGAAAAGGGCGACGGCCCACTGCAACTTCTTTGTATATGACATCGAAAATTGGAGCATAAGAAGTAGTCATGATGCTATTAAAAACCATACAGTAGCACCTAGAATTGGAGCATTTTACTTTGTCTCCTTTTCGGAAGCTTCCTCACTTAAAAAAAATGCAAAAAGTTTTGAAAACCTTCTCACAAATGTCACTACAATAAAGCCCACAAAAAACATTCTTGAATGTTGTTCGTACATATGCATAACTACAATCTTTACATTATATCATTTTGTTTCCTACGAATGGACTGCAGACTTTTATATTCCATGCCGAAGTAATGGCTGAAATTTGCGAAAATTCCTTACATCTCGGGCTCAGCAGATTTTTGAGTATCTCGGGTGCACTTGCGAACCTACTCCTGCTTTTCTTGGTGAGAAATCACACGCCAAATGTGATGAAAAGTTACCGCAAAGTCCTGTACGGATCATGTTTCCTGGATGGGTTTATGGCGTTGGAGCATCTTCTGGTCATGGGGGTGAGTATTAGTCAGAAATACAATCTATTTTGCTGTTACATATAATTTGATCGTTTTCAGAAAACTTCAATCGACAACGACGTTCTTGCGATGCGTTTCATCGGTCCAATTCCTCAACTTATCGACCGTCTCGGCTGGTTGCCCAATGGTGATCTTGCGTATCTCTTGATCCCCGATTTTTTCTTCCAAATGAGTTCTATATGCTATTGTTTTGTGCCCTACACCTTCCGCTACTTCCACATTGTCAGGTGGGTCGTGTTTTGCGTGGAGAAATAAAAAAAGAATTGATATTCCGATACATGTTGTCTTGATCCTGTCCGGGATTGCATTTTTAGTCGCCGAATTTTCAGGAATGCGACCCTCAACAATTTCAAGTTTTTTGTCTTGATTTTCGTATACCTCACGCCTTCCTTGATACTTTCAATTACGATTCCACTTCTCTCTGCCCACGCGTACGATCAGCTTAATGACTATATCGGGAAGGACACTTCCCGTTGCTCAAGAAGAGTCCCTATTTTCGACAGACGAATTGTCACTTCGGAAGTGAGTTTCGTCAAGTTTGTACTTGCAATTTATGCTCCTTTCCTAATGTAGTAAACATACATGTTTGTAGCCATCACACAGCGTCTTCCAAGTTTGTGCATGCCCAGTTTTGGCTATGTTGGCATTTCCGCCGATACTGCTATACTTTATTATTCGAATCTACAATAAATTGAATGGTGATCTTTTGACAACGTCGGCTGTGACCAGGCGAATGCAACGACAGATCACGATCACCTTGACCGCTCAGGTATAAAGATTTGGGTTAGAAAATGTTTTGCTCCATTGCCTAACAGTGGTATTATAATATTATGTTGGCAACAAAGTTTTTCTTGAATCCTCCAGGTTTTACAGGAATGTTCTAGAACGTCATATATTATGGTGTATAAAAGGGGTGTTCGAGTACTGTTTAGCTAGGCTGTATCATGTTTATCAAGTTTAGATTTGTGTCTAATCATCCGATGCTGGAGAAAGGTGATGTTCGAGCCGTTATGTGCAACTGCTACAAAAACGGCCTGAAACCAACAATTACGAGGCAGTAGCTTTTTTGGTGCAGAAGGTTCAAAAATAAGCACTTATACGACAAAACAAGGAAAGAGTTGTTCGCGACGAAATTGGCAACGAGTTCAGTTGGACTTTAGTACCCCAGCCGGCTTACTCTCCAGACATTCCTCGGGCTATCAGTTGTCCCGATCGCTAGCGTCTTGAGAGAAAAAAATTCGGCACATCCAAGGACCTGCAAAACGAGTTGCACTGTTTCTTTAATTCAAGTGGATCTTGGTACCCATCCTGCTTCCCCCCGGACATTGCTCCGTCGGACTACCGCTTATATAATATATTCCGATCGCATTCCCACCATCTCTATGGAAAAAGATTCGACACATCCGAGGACCTGCAAAACGAGTTGGGCTGTTTCTTTAAAGCCTCAGCCGCCTAGTCTCTTCGCTGACTTGGCAGGATTATCCAGCTTCCCGAACGTTGGAAGTACGTCGTAGATAATGATGGTAGTTATTATAATTCTTGACTATAAAGTTAGTGAAGAAACATAAAATAAAAAAATTTAAAAGCTTTGTTGCCAACCTAATATATAGCACAATATTATACAATATTATCCAAACCTTTTCAGTCCATCATTCCCGTTCTCCTAATTTCCCTTCCATTCTTCCACAGTGTCGCCAGCCTTCATTACAGTAGCAGCAGCGATAAGGCGGGTTCATTGGCATTATCGTCCTTTTCGCTCAATCTCATCCCCCTGATCAACCCGCTGGCTACAATTTGGCTGCTCCAGAGCTATCGATATACAATTTTGAAGGCAGTTGGAATCAGAGGAGGCTCTATGAGCATTCAACGGGTGTCCGTTCTCTCCGATGGAAGTTTATTGGGGCCACCTAGTTCCTCCGTTCTCGCTTAGCTTGCTGTTGCCAAATTCCATCTTTCGATGTATTCCCCAAGCATCCTGTATGCGTTCGATGAAGTTTGGCTGAGCCTCCGTCGAAGAGCCGCCGAATACCAATCAATTAAAATAGTGTTGACCCGAGCTTCTTCTAGCACGGATTTCCATATTATAACGTCATCACTCACCACACAAGAGCATCTGGAGTTGGAGTATTTCATTTTTGGTAATTTCTCACTTAACTGTAAAATTTTTAACACGTTTTCATTACTGTTTCACTACAATAAACTTCACAATAATATTTATATGATGCATGATATGTATAACTACAATATCTATATTTTATATCATTTGAGTTCCTCATATACAAAAGTATTTCTTGCGTATGTAATGTCTGAAAATTGCGGGAATCCCGTATATCTCGCTCTCAGCAGATGTCTGAGCATTCTGGGCGTGCTCGCGAACCTACTGTTGTTCTTGCTGGTGAGGAATCACACGCCAAATGTGATGAAAAGCTACCGAAAAGTGCTTTATGCATCGTGTTTTCTGGATGGGTTTACTGCGTTGGAGCATTTTCTGATGACGAGTGTGAGTTTGGCGGAAACTACGGTAGATATATACTTTATATCGATTTCAGAAATTTTCATTCGAAAATGACGTCCTCGTGATACGTTTCAACGGTCCAATTCCTCAATTTATCGACCGTCTCGGCTGGTTGCCCAATGGTAACTTCGCCTATCTCTTGGCCCCCGATTTTTTCTTCCAAATGAGTGCTATATGCTACTGTTTTGTGCCTTACACTTACCGGTACTTCCACATTGTCAGGTGGGTCGTGTTTTGAGTGGAGAAATAAAAAAGGGAATTGATATTCCAATACATGTTTTACAACATGATCCTCCGGGATTGCACTTACTAGTTGCTCAATTTTTAGGAATTCGACCCTCAGCAATTTCAAGTTTTTTCTCTTGATTCTTGTATACCTAACGCCTGCCTTGATAATTTCAATTTCCATTCCACTTCTCTCTGCCCATGCGTACGATCAGCTCAATGACTACATCGGGAAAGACATTTCCCGCTGCTCAAGGAGAATCCCAATTTTTGACATACGGATCGTCACACTGGAAGTGAGTGTCGACAAGTTTGTGCTTGCAATTTGTGCTCCTTTCCTATTGTAGCAACCACTTTTGTAGTCGTTACAGAGCGTCGCTCAAGCCTGTATATCCTCCATTCTGCTTACGTTGGCATTCCCGCCGTTTCTGCTCTACTTTATTGCTCGAATCTACATGAAGTTGAACGGGGAGCTGAAGGCAACGTCGGCTGCGGCCAGGAGAATGCATCGGCAGATCACGATAACGTTGACCGCTCAGGTATGGAGTTGGGATATAGTTTTTTTTCTCCTTATTTGAGGAATTACTTCGGGGGTCAATGGTTTGATGTCCTAACGAAAAAGCCTTGCATATATCATCAAAACGCTTTCAGTCCATCATTCCCGTTCTCCTAATCTCCCTTCCATTCTTCCACAGTATCGCCAGCCTTCATTACAGTAATGGCAGCGACAAGGCGGGTGCTATGGCAACAACGGCCTTTTCGCTCTATCTCATTCCCTTGATCAACCCGCTGGCAACAATTTGGCTGCTCCAGAGCTATCGGTATACGCTTCTTGAGGCATGTGGAATCGGAAAAAGGTCTCAACGGGTATCCGCCCTCTCCGATGGAACTTTAATGGGACGATCTAGTTTCTCGGTGTTCGCTTAAATTGCTGTTGTCAACTGCCAAAGACCTGTCGGAAAAATAATACGGATTTGTCGCTGAAGAATGTATGGCGACGTCACAGTCGCCCACCAGATCTCCAGTAAGCTGCCGCAAAACGATGACGAGCAATTCAAGGCGCGACTAGTCCACACTATTTACAGGGCAGATTGATAAAGTTAGCTATAGCTGAAAATACTACATATATATACAATAAATAAAGTCTCCGTGTCGTGTGACGTCATCACAGACCGTACAGAATGATCTGGAGTTGGAGTATTTCATTTTTCTTCCCTTTTTGTTAATCTCCTCACTTCAAAACAATAAAAATTTTTAACATCTTTTCACTAATGTTTCACTACAATAAAGCCCACAAAAAATATTTTGAATATCGACACATATGTATGAGTACGATATATTTTTTATATCATTCAAAAGTTTCGCTTCATTGCCGATGTAATGTCTGAAAGTTGCGGGAATCCCGTATACCGCGCTCTCAGCTCATGTATGAGCATCTTGGGTGTGCTCGCGAACCTACTGTTGTTCTTGCTGGTGAGGAATCACACGCCAAATGTGATGAAAAGCTACCGAAAAGTGCTGTATGCATCCTGTTTTCTGGATGGCTTTACAGCGTTGGTGCATATTCTGTTTAACGGGGTGAGTTTTGGCCGGAAATACAACCGACCAATACCTAATACTGTTTTCAGGAACTGTCCTCCCAAGATGGCATTCATGTGATACGTTTCATCGGTCCAATTCCTCAACTTATCGACCAGCTCGGCTGGTTGCCCGATGGTGATCTTGCGTATCTCTTGATCCCCGGGTTTTTCTTCCAACTGAGTGTTATATGCTACTGTTTTGTTCCCTATACCTACCGGTACCTGCACGTCGTCAGGTGGGTCTGCTGGCAATAGTGCCTCGTTTGAATAATGAATTCGCCTGTAACAGCCACAATAACCCATTTTGATCTCGTTCTTTTCCCGTGCTTTCGTGTCGAATAAACGATATCTTGGTCGACGGGTCGTCTGCCCATCCCCTCGTATATACTTCATATTCCCGATCTGCTCCTTTCCCCGTGGCTATCAAATAGTTTTAGGTGGAAGGCTAAACAAAATTTAGCCCGAGTGGGATACTAGTCTTTTCGTAGAGTCGCTGGAGTGATCTTCGCAACATGCATTAAGAGAAAACAGAAGTTGACCTTGCACCGTGCAATAGGCAATTGTTGCACATATTTGTCGCTGAATTTTCAGGAATTCGACCCTCAGAAATTTCGAGTTTTTTCTCTTGGTTCTTGTATACCTAACGCCTGCCTTGATAATTTCAATTTCCATTCCACTTCTCTCTGTTCACGCGTACGATCAGCTCAATGACTACGTCGGGAAGGACACTTCCCCCTGCTCAAGGAGAGTCCCAATTTTTGACATACGAATCGTCACACTGAAAGTGAGTTTCGACAAGTTTCTACTTTCTATTTGTGCTCCATTCCAATTTTTGTAGCAACCACTTTTGTAGCCGCCATTACACAGCGTCGCTCAAGCTTGTTCGTCCTCAATTTTGCTTACGTTGGTATTCCCGCCGTTTCTGCTCTACTTTATTGTTCGAATCTACATGAAGTTGAACGGTGAGCTGCAGACAACGGCGGGCGTAGCCACGAGGATGCAACGACAGATCACGATGGCCTTGACTGCTCAGGTATGAGGATTTGGATTAAAAAACGTTTTTTGCCGTTGCCTAATGGCTTTTCAAAGCTTATTCAATGGGGTTCCTTATAATATTTCTATTTTCTGAAAGCCGGCTTTTTATTCTAATCCCGTGCCAAATTTCAGCCTTCTAGCTCAAACGGCTAGCGAGATATGGAGCGAGAAAGCAAGCGCATTCCGAAAAAAATAAAAAAAGTCGCGGAGATCGGTTGTGTCCCTAAAGTACAGAATGCCGTGCGTTGGCAACAAAGTTTTCAATTTTTTTTCTTGAATCCTCTAGGCTTTGCTTCGAGTACTACTCGGTTAGGTTGTATCAAGTTTCTAAGTCCGGCTTGTGTGTAGTTATCAAATCTTGGAGGAAAGTGATGTTCGAGCCATTATTTTGTACGGCTATTTTGTACAAAAAGGCCTTGAAGCCTACCAAAACTACGGACTAAATCGTAAATGTGTTGGGTCAGGAGGCCACCAACTACGACACAGTAGACTTACCCTTTCCAATGTTTCTCGGTCGGACAACCTGTTCCGATCGCTTGCCCACAATGTTGACGGAAATGTCGGGATAAAAAAGATTCTTTGCTCATTTCTTAACAAAAAATCCAAAAAGCCTTACCACACATCTTTCATCTAATCGTTTTCAGTCCATCATTCCTCTTCTCCTAGTTTCCCTTCCATTCTTCAGCAGTATTGCCAGCTTTTGGTACAGTAATGACACCTACAATCCGGGTGCAACGTCAACAATTGCCTTTTCGTTCTTTCTAATCCCCCTAATCAACCCGCTGGCAACAATTTGGCTGTTCAAGAGCTATCGGTATGCGCTTCTTGAGGCATGTGGACTCGGAAAACGGTCTCAACGGGTATTCGCTCTTTCTGATGGCAGTTTAATAGGGCCATCATCTACATGGTGATTCAAAAAATGAACATTTTATTTTGGACGGTAAATCGGAATTGTTTGTATAAATAAAGCTCCACACTTGACTTCGGATATTCTTGACGGAGTATAGACCGTAACTGAGTAATTGGAAGAAAATCTAACAATGTAAGACCGAAACAAGCCTCCTGTTGTTAATCAGAGACAAAAAATGTGTTATTAATAGCTTGCCGAAGAGCGTCGAGACATGATGAACAACCGTTGTTCTCCTGTAGTCTTTGCCCGGAAATGGAGGTAAACTGGCTGAAATTTGAACAAAAGAATGCTAAAGTAATATCCGTCATGTGCGTTGTCCGTACGCCGTCACAATTACGGCCCAATCAAACCGTTTTTGCGGACTCCTTACTTGAGGAGAAGATTGGATAAACAAAAAAAAGGTCAACTTGGCGATCATTTATGTAATGTCAGCTTCGCTTTTGGTGAGATCCTCATGCCCTTCAGCGTTGTCGCCGATCTGAGAAATGAATCCAGATTTGACAACTTGGCGCAAATTTAGAATAATTTTTTCTAAGATATATGCAAGATTCTTAGCTCGCACTTTGCAGAAACAACCGAGATTTTTAGATCGAAAGTCGGCGAAATTTAGGACTTTTTGCCGAATTTCGGCACGAAAATTTTCATGCCTACTTCTATCAGTCTGTCGGAAAAATAACGGCGGATTGTCGCATCAAAATGTCTCGCCTCGCCGCTGTCGCGCACCAAATCCGAAGCCGCGGCTTGCAGTCGCAAAGCGATGATGGGCGATTCGGAGGAGCGACGATCCGCCGTTTTTTCCCGACGGACCGATACTGTAAGGGATAATGTTTCTACAAAAAATCAAATTTTTCCGCACGAAACTGCCGAAGTTATAGCCAAAAAGCGCTTTTCTCTCTGAGCGCTCTCCACGTTTAGCGTGCTCTCTTGGCGGCACAAATCGTTCGATATCTCGGCGGCACCCGCAAAGCGCGAGCTAAAACTCTCAGGAATTGATATCTAGTCCATACCCGACGTGTGTGCAAATTTTAAAGAAAATCTGAGCGTCGCACTTGGAGTACTTCCTCTGTTAGTATTAGTGGTCAAAAATTAGGACGCCTGAAACTCAATCCCTCAATTTTCTCAACTTTTTACATCAAATCTAAATTTTAAATACCAACTGTTTTTATGTATATGACTAATAATCTCGAGAAACAATAACAAATGGGCAGCTGCTCTCTAAAATTAACAATACCTCGGCTAATTCAAAAACCCCAGGAAAAAGTTTTTCGCAATTCTGTGGCCAGCTGTTCCTGTAACTTGCTGCACTCTTAACTCAATTTGAAATTAATTTTAAGTACTTGTTACAAAGAATGGCACTCGTTGATGTTATTATAAATGCAGAGTCCATTGACAGGCGGTGTTCTACGCTCAGATTTGGACGTACTGAGTTACTACGCAACTTTTGAACAACCTAATATTGATGCTAGCTGCTTGCTGTGTTAATCCTCTTCGTCAAGGAGTCTTCCAAATAATCGCAATCTCCGGAGTATTCGCAAACATTTTACTGTTCTTCTTGGTGAAAAACCACACACCAGATGTTATGTACAGCTATCGGAAAGTGCTCTATGCATCCTGTTTCTTGGATGGAGTTACCGCGTTGGAACATTTTTTGCTCATGGCTGTAAGCGTTTTGTAGTTTTATATATACCAGCATCACAATATATCGCGATACCGCAGGATGACAAACCTTTATCATCCTCGCTTTCGGCCATAAAATTGAAATTTCAGCGCTCAGAAATGGTAAGGGATGTGCTTACCATGCGATTCGAGGGGCCTTTGCCTCAACTCATTGAACATTATGGCTTTTTAGCTGGAAGGAATTTAGCGTATCTCTTAGTGTTCGAGGCGTTCTTCATGATGGCAACTGTTTGTTTTTGCTTCGTTCCGTATACCTACCGGTATTTTCACATTGTTCAGTAAGTCATAATTTCCCGTTAACGGTTGGCAGCAGAGAGAGCCGGCTCTTGGCTCCGGCTCTGAGCAGCTCCGGCTCCCGAGCCCAAAGTCGGAGCCAGACTTCTCAGCGTTCAGAAAAGTGAAAATTTCGTCATCTTGTTAAACCAATTGTTTGGAAAATGGGAAAGGTTGCATACTTTGTGTTGCATACTTACGACATGGCTTAAAAACGTTGGGTGTGTCATCTCTGGCACAAATAACCTTTTTTTGGAAACAAAATTTTAAAAAAAATTTGCGAGAGCCGGTGCCGGAGACCTTTTTAAATTTTGCATGGGAGCCGGAGCCGCAATTTTGTCCGTGGCAATCTCTGGTTGGCAGACGTTATTGCCGTCAGGCCTTAGCCCTCGTCGGGGCTTTGGTAGTTCAGCCCCCCCCCCTTACCGTAAAAAATTCGTTCTTGTGGTTCAACGATGATCGTAGCCGAGAGAACCCAATCCCGAGTAGGCGGTTTAGATTGGCTGAGGGGGTTTGTACTGGGTCATGGGGGGCTGAACTGGACTTGGGGGTTGTACTACCTTAGCCCGCCTCGTCGTCTGATATTTTGGTTGACTTCTCATTATTTTCCCGACAGGCTGATATTCACAACTTTCAGCAACAAAACTCTCACCAGTTTTCAATTTCTCCTCCTAGTCGTCGCCTATCTCACTCCTCCTGGTGTCATCACCATTGGAATAGCGCTGCTCTCGGTCCAGTCCTATGATCAGCTTACCGCCTACATTGGAGACGACGATCCGCAATGTTTAAGGCGGGTTCCGTACTTTGATCGACGACTAGTCACTGAAGAGGTAAATGAAATTACGTCCGACAATATATTAGGTTGTCCAACAAATAATGACCCTCTGTGAGAGGGGCAAAGTTTAAAGCCTCTAAAAAAGGAAAGCGATGATAGAATTTCGAAATATTATAACATTTTGTAGCTGAGATTTCAGGCTTTCGTTTGATGTATCGTTTGTCATATTGGGACCAAATTACAGTAATGTAGCCCTAATCGAAAATTATCAAAAAAAAGTCGGTTTGCGCTGTCATCTTTAACGGGCAAAAACAGGATGCGAAAGTTTCAGAAGCTACGCAAAGTATCAACGCTATGTTCGACTAGTGTGTTCTGAGTCTGAACACGGTGAAACGATGGATTTAAAAATTACGATTTTACGGCAAGGGGCCCAAAGATAAAGTACGGAATCCAAACCTTATCAATTTACCCTGAGGTCGTCGGTTGACGAACATCCTAGAATCATCATCCAACGCGTCTCTGACATCGCCTGGCTGTTGAAATAATCGGCGGCTAACCATTCGATGTCGATGGAATTCAAAAAATGCCCGGCAACTTTTTCCCATGTTATTGGATCAAAGCAAAGAGTGGAAGCATTACATTTCTCGCGTTTGCGTGCCGTTTTCTGGATCGAATCGTTGCCTCTGGTGAAAAGAGGACCTACTGGGACAACCAGACCGGATATGCTGAACGGAGTCCTCCGAGGGTATCACTGCGGCACTTGTCAACGCCCGACTCCCCCCAAAACAAGGTGATGACTAGTTCTTAATGGTGCAGCATGGGCATAGTACAATACAGCTTCTTGAAAGCTGGCCAAAATGTAGATACGATCGCCTACTGTATCCAGATAGACAGTTTATGGCAGCGTCTGTCTTCAACGATGCGTCGCAGAAGTCCAAAAATTCATAGCGGCTACACGGAACCTCCCCTTTGAAAGATGACCCTCCAGAAGCCGATTTAATAGAGATACGAGACTGTCCCTCGTCCAGCCTATTTGTCAAAGCTGGCCTATACACATTACCATCAGTTCAAGAATCTTGCACGTTTCATCAGTGGTAGGGAATTCGACAATCAAGACGCCCTTGAAAAGGCCTTCAAAAGTTTCATCGGCACCAGAAGCCGGGGTTCCTAAGCTACAGACATAAAAAACTTTTTGGCACATTGTAACAAGCGTGATAAAGCACGTGATAATTATTTTGATTAAATAGATCGCAGTTATTACGGTAAATTTTGCCGAAAAAATAAATTTTTTGAAGAGGGTCATTATTTGTTGGACAACCTAATACAAGACGTTTTACAGCCATTGCAAACAATTTCCCAAGTCATCTTCAAGTTTAATTACCCAATTTTTGCTTATCCACCCTTACTGCTGTACTTTATCGTCCGAATCTTCCAAAAACTCAGCTCTAATGTGCAAAAGACGTCGAGTGTGGCGAGTAGGATGCAGCGACAAATTACTTTAACACTGACTGCACAGGTGCGTGGGAAATTTGAATGTCAGATCGTTTTCGCAACGTTGGAAAAATATTTTTCTCGAAATTATTTCTTTTGTCAATTGTGACACTTCGTTTGGACGAAACTCCAAAGTGGGCGGGAAACATTTTTCTTTTATCTCGGGTTTGCCGTGACACTCTCGCTTCGCGACGGCGAGCCGTGGCCCGGGATTTGGCGCGCGACTGCGACGGGACGAGACATTTTGCTGCGACAAATCCACATTATTTTCCCGGCAGACTGATAGTTACGAGGCTGGCGGCTAGCCGCTGTGTCTTTCGCCGTTCTTAAGGCAAAAAAGTGCGCACCGAAGGGACCTCAACACCAAAAAAAAATCATCTCAAAGGACTATTAGCCAAGTTATTGCCAAAAGAAGGTCGGTCATTTAAAAATATCAGTCTGTTTTGAAAATAATGTGGGTTTGTCGCAGCAAAGTGTCTCGCCTCTTCGCAGCCGCTCACCAAATGCCCAACTGGCCGTCGCTAAGTGATGAGGGGCGATTCCAAGGCGCGACAAATCCACATTATTTTCTCGACAAACCGAGACTGAGTATTTCCCCCTTTTTTCAGTCGATCATCCCTGTGCTCCTTGTCGCCCTCCCATATTTGATCGGCATCTTCAATCTTCACAATGGCGGAAACAAGTCCGGCTCGTTGTCGCTAATGTCCGTTTCTCTGAATTCAATCCCACTGGTCAACCCTGTATCGACCATCATTTTGGTGAAAAGCTACAGAAATATAGCTCTGAGGGCTCTTGGAATCGACAGAAATTCAATTTCAACCTCTCGGGTTTCGGTAACATCTGTTCTTTCAAAATAAACTCTGTTGTTTTGAAAGATACTTTTATATACGCTAAAAAAACATTGCCTTGAAATTGGAAAACACAGTGGAGGTTCGTGTATGTAATTGAAATATGTGAAAGTCCAGAAATCGGCAAAAAAACTGCCAAATATCAGTCTGTTGGGAAAATAATGAGGACGCTGTCGCATCAAAAATTGCATCGCCGCCGAGAAAATGAATTGTGTTGCGACAAAGTCAAATTGATTTTCAATTCAGAGACACAATCGGCGCGGCGACAGAGCGATCTCTGTTTTCCGGATGGACTGATGCGTTGCCACAAGGGATTTTGAGACACCCTGTAAAAACAAGCGCTGAGTCGCGCTTGTGGTTTAACAAGCAAGACAAAGCGTCACTGAAAGCCTCCTTCACATCTAAATTTTATATTGTCATCATCAAAAATGTAAAAAGTTCGTCATAGCGAGCTCCACGATATTATAAGTAAACAGAGCGCTTTACTGTAGGTGACGCGGTTTTAACATTTGATAATTTATTCCGTTGCCCTTTTACGTGTATTTTGAAATGCTTTCGGCAATGAAACAGGGCTGTAAAGTTCCAGATGTTCTTCAGTTTTTTCTGTAGTTTCATCAAGTACAACACATTTTTGAATGCTCCGTTTTTAACTCCAAAAATACATTTGCTTTTCTACTATTCGATCCTATAGCACTACTGATGCTCTGAAATTTTTTTTCCTCATCGATTTAACTTAATGGATAGTTGCGTAGATCACCTCCATAAAGGAGTGTTTCAATTCATTACGACCGCCGGGTTACTGTCAAACTTATTGCTGCTATTACTCATCAAAAACCACACTCCGAGTATAATGCACAGCTATCGAAAAGTGCTCTATGCTTCTTGTTTCTTGGACTTGCTGACAACGGTGGAGCGGTTTTTGATTATGGGAGTAAGTGTTATTTATTTCTTCGCAAGGATAGTGCTACAAGTGCGACGTTCTAATTTTGATGAAACTGGGCACAATTTAGAGTGATTCTTTGTAAGGCCTGTGTTATATTCCTAGTTGGCGCTTTGTAGAAACGACCGAGATTTTGAGATTGAAATTCGGTAAAAATATATCAATTTTTTTTTGAAAATTTTGGCGTACAAAGTTTCATGTCTATTTCTACAGTATAGGCTATTGTTTTTTCGAAAAAATCATTTTTTTCATGCTCAACTATCAAATCTATAGCCTAAAAGGGAGTTTCTCAAACCGCTATCCGCCTTTCTCGCACTCTCTCGACTGAAAAGATCGTTGAATATCTCGGCTACGCCTGCAAAGCGTGAGCTAAAACTCTCAGGAATTTAGATGAGGTCTATCCCCAAAACGTAGGCTAAACTTAAAGAAAATGAGAGCATCGCACTTGACGTACTTCCCTCGTAAAGAAAAAATTCCACAGGACAAACCCTTGACTCACAAAACTTTCAGAGGTCAACTTCCATCAAAGGCATTCTCATCCTCAATTTTGAAGGCCCTCTTCCCCAGCTAGTCGCTTCATTTGGTTGGCTACCAGATGGGAAACTGGCCTACTTCCTAATTCCCGAGTTTTTCTGTCAAATCGGGACGTTATGTTACTGTTTTGTGCCGTTTACCTACAGATACTTTCATATTGTCAGGTGAGACTTTTTTCCGACAAATGCGAAGGACTCTTATGTATATTTACAATAAGGATTTTATATGATAAGCAGTCGATTGTTTGAATTGCCTTTCAGGAACAAGACGCTGAATCAGCTACAATTCTGCCTTCTAATCGCCTTCTACCTCGCCCCATCAACAATCCTTTCGATTTCACTGCCAATCCTTTCGTCGTTAGCCTTTGATGAACTCACCGAATACGTTGGAGTCGGCGATCCTCAATGTCTACGGCGGATCCCAATGTTCAACCCGGACTTTGTGGTGACTGAGGTACGAGATTAGTAATTGCGGCCGAAGAGTCTGTCCTTTTCGAAGGTTTTTTTAATCCAAAATGAGAGGTGACATGTTATACGATGGAAAGGTTTCTTAAAATTTTCGACGTAACAGGTGACATGTTATAAGAAAATACTCTTAAAATTTGCAAAATGACAGAAACATGTTATACGATGAAGTTTTTTCGGCTTTTTTAGAACTTAAGGTGACATCTTATACGATGGAAATTTTCATATCATTGAAAAAAATAAGTAAAATTTCTTCGTATAAAATGTCGCTCCCACCTTAAAAGATTTTTAAAAAGTGTACTCTCCGGAGAAGCCAACTCTTTGCCTGCGACTCCAGAAATATCGTTATCTCAAAACTTGGCAAAAAACATTTCATTTCCATTTTTGACCCCAATGGTGCATTATCCGCAGATTTAAAATAACGTTTATGACGCTTTCAGCCGATCCGCACAATCTCATACGGTTTCACATCAGTTTTGTCGCTGATCTTCGCTTTTCCGCCTCTCCTGATCTACTGTGTGGTGCGGATATTCCAAAAATTGAATGCGGATGTCCAGAAGTCCTCGACGATGGGGAGCAAAATGCAGCGGCAGGTTACGGTAGCACTGACTTCGCAGGTAAGATTTTTGAAGAAACCGCTTTTCATTTCGACCATTATTTTCCCGACAGACTGATATATAGGTTAATTTCAGTCGGTGGTTCCCATTCTGTTCGTCGCAATCCCATTCTTCCTTGGCATCTTCAACCACAAGACCATGGGGTCATTCTCTGTGATGTCGATTTCAATAAACTTGATCCCCCTGGTCAACCCGATCTCCACGATTATTCTGGTCAAAGACTATCGGCAAACAATTGCGCGGGCGTTTGGAATCGAAAAACATTTGCAGAGTATCCATCGGGTCTCTGTCTTCTCGTCGAAGGGAAGCTTTACTGGCACCTCAACTTGATAACTCAGCACTATGTTTATGTCTGTATATATGTGCAGGGTGTTTCAAGAAATTCCCCGGAAAGCAATCGTCGATTTCTCCGCGCACAGCCACGATATCCAAAAAATTTTTTTTTGCAGTAGAAAGAAGGTTATGGGCGGTTTTTTGCCTAAAAAGATTTTTTCTACGCCGACGCGGAATGCAATGTATTCGGCGAAGACTTTTGATCGCTTTTTTGGTCATCACACACATCTTAAACGCTTTTTTGTGGTTTCTGATGGCTGAAATGCGGATAATTTACTGATTTTTGTGCTTATCAAGCGTTCGGCAAAGGTATGGCAGCCGCCTCCTGATCCATTGTGCAAAAAATCTGAAGACTTTCCGGATGCTGCAGTGTCACAGTAAAGCGTTTTAGATAAGTGTGATGGTCAAAAAAAGCGGTCAAAAGTCTTCCGCGTCGGCGAAGAAAAAAATCTTTTTAGGCAAAAAACCGCCCATAACCTTCTTTCTACTGCAAAAAAAATTTTTTGGATATCGTGGCTGAGCGCCGAGAAATCGACGATTGCTTTCCGGGGAATTTCTTGAAACACCCTGTATAAGGTCTGAATTAAATTTTAAATTTTTTTTTTAAAATCAATTTGAGTCGTTGCACAGTGCGAAATCGAGGAAAAAGTCATTGCACAGTGCAAAATTAAAAGAAATCAAAATTTCTTGCAAAGTACGGTGTAAAATACGTTCTCTTTTTGGGAAAAATAATCTTTACAGTGGCTAAAATATTTCTCGCTCTCAGATTTTGCGACAACTTTCACTTATGTGATACTGTAAGCAATTCTTTTTTCATTGCACTGTGCAATCATCAAAAAAATTGAGATTTCGCTCGCAGCTGAAATTTTTTTGATGTCTGCTTTCATGACATGTTAGTAGTCGTTTTTAAGTGTACTATAGAATACCTTTATTTTGAAAATGCTTCTTGCGCACTGTGCAAAAAATAAAGTCCGTATTTTTGCACGGTGCAAACAACATTTGAGGAAAAACTGCACTGTGCGAACAGTTTTTTTGTATTTTTAAGTTTCAAAATCAACAAAAACGTATTTTAAAATACGAGCACACAAATAAAGGCACAATTTTTTTCAGATAATTCACCTTTTCCGGAGCCAATTTCTCCGCTCCATCTCCGAAGCCGAATTGGTCGCAAATTCCGCGACAGCTCAACGATTCACCGTCTCCCAATACTTGATCCAAGTCAGGGATTGTGATCACGGCGATTCCGCCCGCTGCAACGATCCAATGGGCATTTTGAGACGTGCTTTTCGCTATTTGAAGCCCAAAATTTCGCATTTTGAGGCATTCTTGCAGCGAAAGTTGAATGTAAATGTGGAGTTCGACTTTTTCGCAACTTATCTGGTCACAGTCCGCAATCACCGCGTCTTCTCCGGACTGATGGGCTCGAGTTTCGCACAAGGCGAGGAGGGTTTCGCGCAATTTGAGCTGTTGCGACGGATTTTTTCCGACGATGACAAAAAATTACGGTGAATTTTTGCGATCTCAGACTACTGTAGCATATTTTTGACAAAATAAAGTTCAATCTTTCTTGGAAAAAAATTTCATAAAGTGCATGGACATTGTGGCCTCAGTGCATCTGATCATGAGTAAAACAAGCCGTTCCTTCTAATAAATCGACAAAATTCATCAAAAACACTGCAATTTTATCATGTATGATACAGCCATAATAAAAATTCAAACTCTGATTACATCGGCTTTCCAGTTGACATGTTTTGAAGGCCAAATTAAGGGGCTCTTTCGTCGTTACCAGTCATCAACTTCGGCCTCCTACAACATCATCAATTTATTGTCCCCGCAATTGAAGTCTTCGTTGGATACAGCCAAAAATTGCTGGAATTGTGGAGAGCCTTGATATTTCAAATGGAGTATATGTCAGGCAATGATTTCTCGTCGTATGGGGCCTAAATGAGACTATTATAATAATCATGTCACGTTTAGAAGAGAAATTAATCAAAATATTCCAAAAAAAAGGCTCGAACGGGTTCTAAAAGATGAAACGCCCTCTCTATACCATAGACTTTCCCCACTGTAGGTTCCAACTTTACTAAATTTTCAAAGGAATTCAAATTTATCCCGCAAATTTAATAAAAATTCTCAGCATAACGCCAATTACGACCCATACCCCCAAATCCGCCATAATCTTCTAAAATACGACTTAAAAAAGGCCCACCATTGAGTCAGTTTCCAATAACGCCCTTCCAGTGCACCATCGATCCGCCAATTTTCTCATCATTGAAATCATCCGCTGGGATCGAAGTATTGGCAATACTTCGATCCGATATTGCCGATTCCAGTTCCTCCCAACAAGGCTTCAGCCACCGCACGCCTCTCATGACATTCGCGTGGACGGGGGACTCCGATGCAACTGCCTAAATTTCAAACAATCCAAAAACAAAACACAACTTACTTTTTCCATTTTGCCCATCACAAAAACAACTCATTCTGCGGCAATTCGAATCACATGTTGTCTTCTATGTCCAAAGGAACCATCTGAAATTCCATATAAATTAAAAACTGCATCAAAATCTAAAGAAATCGGAAAAAAAATGTCAAAAACTCACCCACAAAATGCCATACAGTCAAAAAAAACCCCCCTTGTCCAAATTCGTCCTGATGCCTTCAAAATCCAACAAAAACGTCCGAAATCCCTCCACGTTGCAAAAAACGTTCCAAAAAATTGAGAAAATTTGAATGAAAACCTGAAAAAAACGTCAATTTTCCCACGAATTTGTGCAAAAAATCGAAATTTGCATAATCGAAATTCACCAAAATTTTGTTGGCATTTTTCTCATTCACCGGTAGATTCTTTTATCCTGGTATCAGCGTCCTGCGATCTAACGATGTCTTCATCAGCGAACCGCGACTCCGTCTCCAAGACGATGGCCCCGGCTCCCTCCACCGCCGCCGTCCCGGTGGTTGGAGTCGGGGAACGGCCGATGGGTAAGTCAAATGGGATGTTTTTGGGGTTTTTTGGGATTTTTTGGGGTTTTTTGAGGATTTTAAGCATTTTGAGGATTAAAAATAGGATTTGTCATCAAAAATCCTGAAAATTCTGGATTTTTTGATGACAAACCCAGCTTTGAATACTTTAATAGACTTTACCTTGTTTTAAGATGATTTACATAAGCTTAGGGACAAAAAATATTAAAAAATATCAATATCTCGCTGACTTGCCTAGTACAAGATAATTTTGAAGTAAGAAACCCAAAAAAAGAGCTCAAAACATTGATTTCGAGCTCAATTTTGCAGAGCTTGCTTAGATTTGCAACTCCAAATTACCTTATATTTAATTTCTCACCCGTAAAATTATAAACCTCATTTTTGGCTGGTGGGTTGCCGTAAATCCCGCCAAAAATGACATTGTGAAGGCCTAAAGGCCTTGAAAATACACTATTACGCCTTGAAGTGTAATATTCAGGCCCGATATTGCGCAAAAGGTCGCAATTTTGGCTGGTGGGGAGTTACCGTAAATCCCGCCGAAAAAATTTTAATACTGTAAAATACGGCCGAAATTGGCCTTGAAATTATGTATACGACCCGATGCATCGCCATAGAGTAGTTCCCGCCCCATTTAAGCCCTGGCAGATCGGTAGGTCAAGATTTTTTGGGTTTTACAGTGTTTAGAGGCCTCATGGAGGAGATGTCAGAGGGCAAAATTTTGCATGAAATGGTAGATTTCGAGCATTTTTTGAGATTTTTTTTGAGAGAATTACTGTATTTTAGACAAAATTCAGAAAAATTCCGTACCAAAAGTGCATTCCAATTAATTTTTGTGAAAAAAAAATTTTGGAAAAAAATCCTTTCGCTTTTTTGACACCCCTTTAGGCAATAAAATGAAAGCCAACAGCACTCATTAGGTATCATGAATTACGAGCTTGCTTTTGATATAAATCTCCCCTTTGCTCAAAGATCAAAATCCCAGCCCGCAGCCTCCCAGAATACCCATTATGATTGGGCTGACATCTCTCCAAGGTCCAAAAATGATGAACTCGATCGATGGTCAGCACCACTGCTCAAGCAAGACGACATTCGGTAGTCAAAAATCTGGAAAATCCGTCAATTTTAGTTCATGTTTTCGTCAAAATTGTGAAAATCAACTCTGAATTTTTAGAAGTTCCATTCCTTTTCCAAAAAAATTCCAAAAATAACCCCTTCCCCAAAGATTTTTGACGGATTTTCTAGAAATTTGTCATCCGAATGTCAGAATTGATGTCCAAAGTTCAAAATTATGGCCTCAAACATCTGCATGTACCTCCAGAATCCCTCCAAGAGCCTAATCCGGGTCGAAGATGGATCATTTATGTTGATTGTGGCAGTTCCAGCGACTATTCATCATGGCATCACCTAAAATATTATTTATTATATAATTTACTGTATTCGTCATAAATTATTACCACACATCGTAGTTTGGATTATTTTTGGAGGCAAAAAATTCCCAAATAAAGACTAAACTATTCTTTTTCACGGCCAAAAATAGCCTTACTTTGTGTTTTTTCCAATTGCCATCGAACACCGTCTCCAATCTGATTCGTGGACCAGGTAAAAATTTAATTTTGCTTCCCTCGCCTTTTCAGTTCGTCCAGGCAGCTGTTCCAAGATAATTCAAAACTCGATGGGTCCTTCCCTGGCAAGAGTCCACTTCCAATTCCGTTGGCGCCCTGAAACTTGAACCATTACAATTGGATAAATATTCTTTTATAAGTTCTAATTGTATTAATCATAACAATAAATAATTACACCATTTTATACTATCCATGTAAATTTACCTTTATTGTTACGTATAACGGGGTTTTCACTGTGAGACACCATCTGATGACACGATGAACTTCCTGGACCTCTTCCTTTGGACCAATTCAATCACTGGGCTGATTGCTGAAGATCAACGTCAAATGGACCATGCCGACGATCATCACTTAGGATTAGGGTTGTAGTAGAGTAATTTCAAGGGGTGGGGAGCTCGTCTCGTCCATGGATGGACGTTATTGATGGTGTTCTTGGCAACTGTCCTCGTTTTTCTTGTCAAAACCTTGTTGAAAGACCTCTTGATGTGCTCTGTGATTTTCTCCGGGTGGACTTGACTTCTCGTCGTTCAGGCTCGTCGAATTTTCGGTTGCGTGTCGCGTGGACCTTTTCAGAGAATTCCAATCAATCAACAAATACATCTTCAAGATGACACCACCTACTTTCGTCACGATCACTTCAAATCACCTCCATCTTCAGTTCAACCACGATGTATTAATTCTACCATCCATTCATTCAATTTCATCAACATCTTCACCATCAAATTCGTTTTTACATCATGACTCCGTCTCCAATCGAAATTTTCAACGTTCGCCACAAATTTTGGATGAAAAAAATGATTTGGCTTGGAGATTATTCATGACATCAGTATCGTTTTGGGAGAGACCGAAGAACCAATGAATATCTGAAAGAAGCATTTAGAATACCGATACAAGGAAAACATAAATTTTAGACGTTTTCGCCCATTTGACCCCCGGACTCACCTTATTTTAGCTCAATTTGAACATCAACATACCAATCTGACCATTTTCATCTCCATGAATCCAATCCAGCACCCATTTCCATGATTTTCACGTCTAAATGGCCCCAAATCACCCACAACTTGTCCACCTGCACCTGATCTTCACCAATCGAGTACCATTCATAATCTTGGTTCGGACCACCACCTTTAATTTGGTTCCATCTCAGCTTCTGGAGTACATTTGAAGGATTCCCCCGTTCCACGTTGTCGTTTGATCCGATCTTCGGGTCATTCAGTGTTCTTGGCTTTCGAGCCGCTGTGCTGTCGCCTTCCTGATCACCACTAACGAATACGCTTTCTGGTCGCCATCAACGAAAAAATCAGCTCGGGTTTCTTGTCGGTTTTGTCACTGGACTTCGATTTTCGACATCTGTGGAATGTTTTCTGGAGAAATCACAAATTGTTCGCAGGACTTTGATTCAAATGTGGAGTTTTCGTTCAACGTGGATTTCACCTTCAAGATTTTGGATCGTCATCATCTGGATCTCCGCCTAAACGCAAAAAAGCATTACTTTAGACATACGAAAAATTTTTATGTGGGAAAGTTGAGAGAATATGAGAAAATAGAGACCTTAGTAATAGTATTAGAATTTTTGGCCATACTTTTTCAATTCTTAGACTAATTTTGATGATTTTAGTGTCTCCCAACACCGTCGGCCAGGCCTCCGGCCACGGCTCGTGCCATCCAACCGAGCCTCAAGTCCATACCGTGCAGGCCGAAGTTTCGCCGGCGGTCATGGCCCCTCCTCTGGTTCGCCAACATCAAACCGGCGTCCCGGAGGAGGGTAAAGAGGGGCCAAGCTCAACACTTGGCCTCTCTGGCTTCGGCCAAAACCCCGCCCCAACCGTTCAGGCCGAGCACCTGCCGGCGGTTGCGGGCACGGAGAGATCGAGCTCACCACTCGATCTCTCCGCCCCCAGCGCGTTGATGCACACGCCCGTCTACAGCCCAGGGCACTCAACGCTGCATGGGGTCCCCTCAATAAAATCAATGGAAGTCTTCGATGAGGGGGAAGACTGGGCTGTGGACGAGCCGGTCGAAGCCAGAATGAAGCGGCTCGAAGATGAACGAAAACTCTGGAAGGACGAATGCCGGAGGATGTGGCTGAGGCAGGCCACCTTGGAGAAGAATCTCAGCTACTATGAAGGAGCAATTGAAGAGGCTCAACATGAATTGAAGAAGGCTAAAGATGAAGCCGCCGCCGCTATCAAAAAAGCGGAAGAAGAAGCCGAATCCAAGGTCACAGAGCTCCAACGGAAATACTTTGGGGCGCTAACCGAAGCCGACCGTGCTCAGAGAAAACAGAAGGAGACAGAAGAAGAAGTCGTCCGTCTCCAACAACGGCTGATGGATAATTTGAAGAAGGCCGCTCCTCGGTCGCCAAGAAACCGCTCCAGAAGTCCGATCACGGAGCGATCACCAACGCCGGAAGTTCAGCCTGAAGTCCCGCCGCCGATGCCTGAAGCCCAACCACAAAACGAACCAGAACCACAGCAACACTCCTTCGACGTACCGGTAGAAGAACAACAGCACGAGGCCCCAGGGCCGGTCCGAAGAAGAATGCCGAAATGCCGAAGAAGATGCTGCTACCAGCCGCCGCCTGCCCCTCAAGTTCCTCGGCCTCCGCGAAGATCAAGAGAAGTAGAAAAACTCGGCCCAATAATCGAAGCGGTGGTCTTTGAAGAACGGACCAGAAGAAGCCGTCAGCCCCCGGCAAGGCTTATGGTGGACATGGTTCGAAGGTCGTACACCACAATGAGGAATTCCTTGTTGCCCCGTAAGTTTATTGGCTCTTGTTTTTTACTTTTCAAGCCAAAACCCTCTAGAAATAAACCAAAATAAGGTGTTTTTTGAAGAAAAAAAACATTATCCATACATAATTCTCAATAATATCTTTTTTTTCAGGAAGAAGAACCCAAGTTCCGGCAAATCCCACGCCTTGGAACCTTGGATAAGGTGGAGACACATAAAGTAAGATTTTTTGGGAACTGTTTGACCTTGACTTAGGCTAAAGTAATATAATTTTTGCTCTATTTTCAGATGAAGGCCAGTCAGACCGAAGCGGAGAAGTGGATACGGCACCCTTGCCCCCTGAATCAGCCCGGGGGGCATCTGGAATAATAAAAGGGTGCCCCATCCACTTTTTATGGTCAATATTTGGTCATTTTGGACTAAAATAAGGTAAGTTATCGTGTTGAATTTATATGTTTGCCTTTTTTTCAGAATTCCCTAAAAAGGATGAACTGGGAAAGGTGGAGCACCCTTGCCCCCCGAATCAGCCCGGGGGGCCGCTGGAATTTCATGGGTGCTCACCTTTTTTCCGGTGACTGGCGCGTCGAACCGGAGCACCCAGGCCCTCCGCTTCATGCGGGGGGCCCTCTGGATAACTTTACGGGTGCTCGGCTAGACCAATAAGGTAAGATTTCGTTTTGTTTTTCGGAAATTTTTCACTTTTATTTGGGCTAAAGCAATATAATTTTCCTATTTTCAGTTCAAGGCCAGTCCAGTCCAGACCGAAGTGGACATGGAACCCTCGCCCCCTGAATTAGTCCGGGGGGCCTCAGTGAACCAATCAAAGAAATTGAGGTAAGCAAGATTTATATTCGTCTCCTTCGAAGTTTAGGAGTCATGCTTAGGAATTTCGGGATAATCAGCTGCACGCCGGTAAGATATATCCATCTTACACAACGTTACACAACCTATTAACGTTGTATAACGTATGTTATGTCGCAATAGTTCCATGTCCCAACGAGACATGGAACTAAAATCGAAACGTTTTTCGATAAATTGTTACCTAAATTAATATAAAAGTATTCTGGAGGCAGAAGGGCAACAATTTATGAACTTATGCCGTCGAGAATACTAAAATACGCTCAGAAAAGTGGCTTCTAACCCGAACAGATGTATTATGGACTCAAAATGTGGTAAATATTGCCAAAATAAATCAAATCCCTAAAAATTTAGCTAAAAACGATATTTTTCGGAGCGAAGTAGAGAAAAAATTTGCGCTGACCTGCAGAAAGGTCTCGTAAACAAATATGATTAAGCCCTTCCCCAAAATTTGGACTAAAATGCCGTTTTTGCGTCGATTCTCCATCACATTTTCGATACCTAAATTTCGAAGAACGAAAAAACATAAAAACACTTACGTATATCCAAGAGATGCATTTCATCACCTAAAGTAACCTATTCTCCAACTTCAGAAGCCATCCTCTTACTTTTACATCTTCTGCAAAACGGTTCACGCCCGTTTCTGCAAATTTATTTTGCATCTGTGCGCAAAGTTTTTCCTGATGCAGAATGCCAACCATTTCTACCAACCAAAAAAGTTCGTTTCGGGGTGCAGCTGATGTTTTACTTGACATGAAGACTGTTCTAAAAGTGCGATAAATTCGATCCCGCTTTGTATTCCTTCGTTTTTTGCGTTTTTTCTTGTTCTGACATAACATTATCTCTTCTTTTTCAGACTCTTACACACGAGCTCAATTGCCCACCAGATCAAAACCACTGAGGAGTCCGAGCGGCAGCGTATTCATGGTCCAAGCCTTGAAAATGAAGTAAGCTTATGTTTCTTTTGTTTTTTGTTTGCGGTTTAGATCAATATTTGGCAGAATTTTGGATCGGGAGGGAATGGTCAGACTTGATTTTTATACCTATTTTTGAATCAGATTTCTTTGTCAGGAAAATCTGTGTCTATTATTGACAGGGAGTCGAATATTTTCACAAAAAACAATTTTTTCCCACTGAAATTCGCGAAGACATAGAGGAAAACACGTTTTTTTGTGTTGCCGCTCTCCTCATTTCCCGTTCTCGCTCGCCGGAAAGATTGCGTAATATCTCGGGTGCGAATGCAAAGCAAAAGCTAAAATTTTCAAGGAAGGATTTGTGGATCATCTAAAGAATATGTGCTAAATTTGGGGAAAATTGAAGGAAAAAATTTTTTGGGTTTAGTAGAGGTCAAGTATAAGGTTGAAAGTCTAATTTTTTGATATTTTTTGGCTGAACTCAGAGGTTTTCTCGCGTGTAGATGATGTGTCCGAGAGTGTAATTGAACAATTTCAGCAATGGCTACTTGAATTCGATGGATTTGGGACGAATTGCGGCACTTTTTTATATTACAATTGAGTCCATCGAGACTTTCACGAATGGACATGAAGCTGTCAAACTGACCCCGAACATGACTGAAGATCATATTTTAGCCCTAATCTGCTCTTCCTCGGAATTCGCACAAATTCAGGTGATTTTTTTTGGATTTTTTTTTATTTTTTTGGAGGTGATATTGATTTAGATGATTTTTTTTTATTTTTTTGTGATTTTGACGTTATTTGTTGGAATTTCAGTGTCGCGAAACCGAAATGGCCGACCTGGACATGCTCATGTCGGGATGCATGCTCCCCTTGAGAGGCGGTGGACTGGCTACGTCGCAAGGAAATGTCAATTGTCGACTTTAGGTAGGCGGTTTTTGATTTTGGAAGAAAAAATGTTGAACGATTTAATTTATTAATTTTTTTCAAAGCTCAAAAAAAATTTATAAGGAAAGTACTTTTACGGAGTATGGAGTTACAGGTCGAGACACATATCAAAAAATTGCAAAATTTTTCTGATTCAGAATAAGTAAAAATTAGCTGCCTTATTTTGGTTGGTAACGGCGAAAAAAACCCTCAGAACTTTTCTCCCAACGCCATGCCTTTTTGACCAAGTTTTTACCAATTCAAAAGCTTTGTTTTGAGCTAAAGTGGTGGGCCTGATCCAGTGGCAAAAAACGTACCGTTTTGCATTCAGTAAGTATTAAAAAATGTGGCAAAATACCTCCCTCTACAAGTGGAAAAACTTCGTTTTGAAGGCCCCTCACAAAAAGAGCGGGCGCGCATTTGAAATGTGAGTTTTTTTCACTTGTAGAGGGAGGTATTTTGCAACATTTTTAAATACTTCCAGTATGCAAAATGGTGGGTTTTTCCCACTGGATCAGGTCCGCCAATGTAAGGTAAAGCCTGGCATCTTTGACTGTTTTAAGATTTGTAAAGATGCCAGGATTTGTTTTAGCCCAAAACAAAGCTTTTAAATTGGTAAAAACTTGGTTAAAACGGCATTTGCGTGGTGTTGGGAGAAAAGTTCTGAGCTTTCGCCCTTACAAACCAAAATTGGGCAGCTAATTTTTACATATTCTGAATCAGAGAAATTTTGCGGTTTTTTGATGTGCCTCGACCTGTAACTCCATACTCCATAAAAGTACTTTCCTTGTAAAAAAAATTTTCTGAGCTTTGTAAAATCTTAATTAATTAATTTTAAAAAAATTTCACTTTGGTTTTTTACGATTTTTTTTTCAGAATTACATCTCCCGCGTCGAGCCCAGCTTCGCGCTGCAATCGGAGATGTTCTACATCTAGTAAAACGCCTCCCGCGTGGCCCGCGCCTTGTTCGAGATCACGCTGCGCAAGAATTGGGCCTTCACCGCCGTCCAATGCCTCGAATTCTCGAAATGCATCAACCGCCTCTGGAAGAACTTCAACAGCCCGTTGCACCAGGTGGTCGACGTGTGACTGCTGAAGGACTTGGTGTCGGAAAAATCGAAGCCAAACGAAACCTCGACTTTCCTGGACCTCCTGGATTACGACCAGAAGGAACTGGGCGCACAGTTCAATTGTGACGGACGTATCTTTTACGACTGCTTGAGGTACATCCCGTCCTTAGATGTGGAAGCAACCATCAAACCAATCACCCCGTAGGTTTTGAAGTGGGGTTTTTTTACAGAGAAAGGTCGATTTGCCTGGAACTTTTGGGCAAAATAGGGATTTGGGGATATGTTGGGGGGTTTTTTGGGCAATGTGGAGAATTTTTTGGACAAGGAGAGAGTTTTTTGAGCAAAATGGTTGTTTTGGGACAGGTTGGGGTTTTTTTGGCAGAATGGGAATTTTGGGCAAGATATATTTTTTTGGGCAAGGTGGAATTTTTTGAACAAGGTGAAATGTTTCGGGGAAAGTTGATTTTTTTGGGCCAAATGGGAATTTTCGAGCAGAATGGGAATTTTGGGCAAGATGAGAACTTTTCAGCAGATTTAAATTTTTTGTTCGAAATGGATTTTTTACTGGATGTAAATTTTTGGGCATTTTTTTTTGCAACTTTGGATTTTTTGTACTGGTTGACATTTTTTGGACAACTTCCTAATCTTGACTATGGGGGAAAAACTTCCGGAAAGCGGCCCACTCTGAAAAAATTGTTAAGGGGTTGAGAGATATTTTTATAGTGTTGTCACTGGTGTTTTTGCGTGTTAATTTTTTATTTTTCAGAGGTCCTCTCTCGATACCCACCACCGAAAGGATGACAGAGAAAAAATAATTAAAAGGCAAAAAATAGAAGAGCCAAAAAAAATGAAAAGGCCAAAAAATCAAAAAAAAAGAAGAGCCAAAAAAATAATAAAAAGGCAAAAAATTATATTTTTTGAAAAAATAAGATAATGAAAAAATAAAAAAAGTGACAAAAAAACGTAAAAAATGAAAAAATAAAAAAAAAGCTTTTTTAATTGACCCCATTGTATTTATCTATTGTATTTGTATTTAATTTCTATTGTCTATTGTATCTGTTGTATTTGTCTCATTTATTCTATTTGTGTTTAATTTCTATTGTCTATTGTATCTGTTGTATTTGTCTCATTTATTCTATTTGTGTTTAATTTCTATTGCTTATTGTATCTATTGTATTTGTCTCATTTATTGTATTTGTATTTAATTTATCACGACTTTTTAATATGTAAGTTATCGGTTTATACTTGTTTTAGCGTGGTCTTTAATCTCAAATTATATGATTTATATTTGCAGAAAATGACCCCGGAAAGCAATGGATCCTTCGAAAACTGCACCAATTCAACAACGTCACTCCCGGCCCAGGACGGCACCTACATGGCCGAAATCCAAACCAACGATTTAGACAACATGCAATGTAAGCTTTGATGGTTTTTTTGGTAGTTGAGAAAATTAGGGAATTCTTCAGATTGTTGTCACTTGTTTTTTTTGGTGGTATTTATTTTTTATATGATCTATTTTTTCAGAAACCCAGCTCTCGAATCAGTGAATCTTTGGAACGCATTTCCCGACCCTACTTTCAATGTCCCAATTCCGGCCCAGGACGGCACCTACATGGCCGAGACCTTCACCAACGATTTAGACAACATGGAATGTAAGTTTTGATGGGTTTTTATAGTTGGGGATATTAGGGAACTCTTCACAAGGGAATGGACTTTATGTGTAAATCGATTTTGGCTTGAGACATCGTCAGATCGAAAGGTGTGTGGTAGTCGATTATTCACTTGGGGGGAAATCTCTGCGCGGGCTTCAAAGCCGAGAAAATCGGCTTCAAAGTTTGGGCGAAAATCAAAGGGTAGGATCCCGGAAAAGTAGCGTTAAAAAGTGTGAAGCAGTGGCCGAGTGGTCAGTGCGCTCGCTTTTTACGCAAAATGTTGCAGGTTCGAGTCTTTCCAAGCTCAAACCATCATTTATCGTTTTTACTTTTGCTTTCTTCATGCTAATCCGGCTGTACATTTAAAAAAGGGGTATAGGTAAAATTGTCTAAAAAAGTTATGAATGGAAGCAGATTCGAGCTCGCGACCTTTTGCGCAAAAAGCGACCACTCGGCCACTGCTTCACACTTTCTATCGCTCCTTTTCCGGGATCCTACCCTTTGATTTTCGTCCAAACTTTGAAGCCGATTTTCTCGGCTTTGAAGCCCGCGCAGAGATTTCCCCCCAAGTGAATAATCGACTACCACACACCTTTCGATCTGACGATGTCTCAAGCCAAAATCGATTTACACATAAAGTCCATTCCCCTGTCAGATTGTTGTCACTTGTTTTTTGATGGTTCTTCAATTGATTTCTGTATTTTCAGATATTGCTCCAAGATTTCTTCACTGCTTTTCGGATTTAAAATAAAAAAAAAAGAAAAAAATAAAAAAAAAATAAAAAAATAAAAAAAAGAAAAAAAATAAAAAAAAGAAAAAAATAAAGAAAAAAAAATAAAAAGATAAGAAAAAATAAAAAAAAGAGAAAAAAAAGTAAGAAAATAAAAAAAAAATTTTTTTTAAGTACCCCGTATCCTTCTCCTCTAAATTTTACTCGCCTAACTTACTGCCCATTTGTATCAATGTAAGTTGTTATTTCGTTCTTGAATTTATCCTGGATTTTTATTAAATTATATGATCTATTTTTTCAGAAACCCAGCTCTCAAATCAGTGAATCTTTGGAACGCATTTCCCGACCCTACTTTCAGTGTCCCAATTCCGGCCCAGGACGGCACCTACATGGCCGAGACCTTAACCAACGATTTAGACAACATGGAATGTAAGTTTTGATGGTTTTTTGTAGTTGAGGATATTAGGGAACTGTTCGGATTGTTGTCACTGGTTTTGGTGGTTCTGCAATTGATTATTTTATTTTCAGATGTTGCTCCAATGTTTCACTGCCCTACCCCAAATGTTTACCACCCATTTTTCGCTATGTAAGTTGTTTCACCCTTGATTTTTGCCTGCTTTTTCTCAAACTACATGATATATATTTTCAGAAACCTAAACATCACCTTCACTCCCGCCACACCCCTTTCCATTCGCAACACCCATTCTTCCCTCCCACTCGCACCACTATCCTCCCCCATCACACTCTCTTCAGGATGTAAGTTTTGTGGTTTATTAGTAGTTGAGGAAATTATAGTGAGGGACCTGATCCGATGGCAAAAAACGTCTCCTTTTGCATCCCGGAAGGGGCCAAAATGACCCCAAACCATTCCCTTCTGTAAGCTGAAAAACTCCGTTTTGAAAAGCGCGCCCTTTTCTTCAAGGAGGACTCTTCAATGCGGGGTTTTTTAGCTTAGAGAAGGGGAGGGTTTGGAGACATTTTGGTGCCTTTCGGGATGCAAAATGAGACGTTTTTTGCCATTGGATCCGGTCCCTCACTGTACAGATGGCTTGAGATTATTGTCAATTCTTTTTTGAGTGTTCTTCAATTTATTCTTTTAATTTGCAGATATCCCCAAGCCCCATGCAACGGATACCTTTAAAAAAGAAAAAATTAGTAAAAAAAGAAAAAAATTGAAAAAAAAATAAAAAAAAATAAAAAAAAAAGAAAAAAAAAATAAGAAAAAAGAAAAAATAGAAAAAGAAAAAAAAAAAAAAAATAAAAAAAATATAAAAAATAATTTTGTTTAAAGTGACTCTTATTTTTCTCTTGTAAAATGTGATTCGCCTATTAGTTTACGACCCCTTTGTAATAATGTAAGTTGTCATTTAGTTCTTGAATTTATCCTGGATTTTTCTTAAATTATATGATCTATATTTTCAGAAACTCAGTTCTCAAACCAGTGGATCTTTGGAGCACATTTCCCGACCGCTACTTTCAATGCCTCAACTTCGGCCCAGGACGGCACCATGGCCGAGACTCAAACCAACGTCAGAAACAACATGGAATGTAAGTTTTGATGGCTTTTTTTGGTAGTTGAGGAAATATTAGGGAATTCTGCTTGAGATTGTTGTCACTTGTTTTTTTAGTTGTTTTTCAATTTAATATTTTTTTGTTTTCAGATATTGCTCCAAGATTTCACTGCTCTACCCCAAATGTTTACGACCCATTTTTCACTATGTAAGTTGTTTCACCCTTGATTTTAGCCTGCTATTTCTCAAACTATATGGTATATATTTTCAGGAATCTAAACATCACCTTCACTCTCGCCACACCCCGTTCCATTTGCAACACCCATCCTCCCCTCCCACTCGCACCGCACCCCTCCTCCGTTCCACTCCCACCACACTCCTCCCCCATCACACTCTCTTCAGAATGTAAGTTTCATCGTTTATTAGTAGTTGAGGAAATTACAGATGGCTTGAGATTATTGTCAACTCCTTTTCGAGGGTTCTTCAATTTATTCTTTTTATTTGCAGAGATCTCCAAGTCCCATGCAACGGATACCTTTAAAAAAGAAAAAAATAAAAAAAAGTAAAAAAAAATAAAAAAAAGAAAAAATTAAAAAAAAGAAAGAAAAAAAAGAAGAAAGTTAAAAAGAAAAAAAATTAAAAAAAAAAGAAAGAAGAGGCCACATCACTTCCCCTCCCACCACCACACTTCTCTCACTCTCCCCTCCCCTACCACACCCACCACCCTCCTTCCCTCTCCCTCTCCCTCTCCCTCCCCTTCACCCAATCATCATGGCTTGCTTTGATGATTAAAGTAAGTTGTTTTTTTACCAATTGTAGGCCTTTATTCTCGTCATGAGTCCAGATACTGCCAATTCTATTTTTAATGTTATTTATTTTCATGGAAACCATCGAGAATCCGTTCCTTGGAGCCCTGGAGAAGTTGGAGAAATCAACGGTGTCCTGAAGGTCTGCAGAAGATAAGAAAGGTATGTTAATTGGGAGTGATAGAAGAATCGGGTATTAGAAGGGGACACTAGGAACATTCTAAGTGAAAACGCGTTTAGCTGTGTAAAAGCCAGTCATTACGACATATTTTTTGAATGGTTACGGCAGTGACGAGGGGTTTTCTAAACTCTGATTTTTACTGGTATAAACGGGTTAGACATGGGTTTAAAAGCTTGCAAAGTCTTGATAGGTGCTGTTTTGTGATTGATCATTTTGGAATACGCATTTGTCTTCATGGAAGTATGTTAAGAAACTGATGTTTTTTGTGATTTTTTCGGAAGAATTTTAGAATTTCTTGCTTTTTTTTGACAATTAAAGGAATTAAAATATGTAAGAGGTCGTAAAAAGAAACTTACACGGAGTAGTTACTAGTCTTAGCCACTAGTCATGTCATCATGACGATATTGTGCTACTTTTATATTGTTCATGAGATGAATAACATGAAATTTCCCATTGATTAATATATTCTTCTTCCAGAATGGCCACTTTGTTATGGTCGACGAGGAAGCTGGAGTGATTGAAAGCGAAGAACAAGCTGCATTCCACGGAAACGGACGGCATCTCTGAGGATGCACAGTGCAATTGTTTGGAGGTAAGCAAAGTTTTGTTAATAAAGGGGAACTTTGGCTGATCTAGGGCTAGAAATCCGTTTGATTTTGGATTCAAAAGATGTAGATCTACATTCGTCCTCATGACGGATTTTATTATGGTATCCAACGCGTGGGAGTAGTCGTTTCTTTGTGAAGTTTTAATCTCTGTAGTGTAATATTGAATCCTTTTGAGGGGTAAGTGGTGATAAAAGGCACTTTTTTACTCCAGCTTCTATCCCTATTTCAAGTATTTCTCCGCCAATAATGCACCAATTTCCATTAAATCTATGTCAAATTGAAGCTGAGGTTCCCCATTTTCTGTCCACAAAATATGGCAGGCCCAAGTTCAAGGAGGCTCCTGTATTGACCCTCGACATTTTCATTCCAAATTTTGGAGCCCGAAATTGGTGAAACTTGGAAAATTTTTGCAATGAATTTCAATTGAGTTCTCGAACTTGGAAAATATTCGAGTCTTTGGCTAAATAAGCCCGCACTTCGTACTTCCGTAAACCTTAATTTTTAAAAAAATTCCGTCGAATCAGGTGACTTTGCCGGAAATCCAAAAATTTCCCAAGTCTGAGAAACTCAATTGAAAATCATTCCAAAAATTTTCCAAGTTTCACCGATTTCGGGCTCCAAAATTTGGTATGAAAATGTGAAGGGTCAATACGGGAGCCTCCTTGAACTTGGGCCCGTCATATTTGGTGGACAGAAAATGGGGTACGTCAGCTTCAATTTGATGTAAATTTTATAGAAATTGGTGCATTATTCGCTGAGAACTACTTGAAATAAGGATGGGCTATTTAATTCGTCGTCATGACGGATTTTTTAGCTCTCTGGTGTAATATTTGATCGTTTTGAGGGTAAAAGTTGATAAAGACGCTGGTTGCTCCATGAATTGTCTAATTTAGTGGTAAAGGACTTGATTATGAAAGATTTGTAGGGGCTTTATGTTGTTGATGAGATAGTTAAATTCAATTTTCAAATTTTTCCATTTGTAATAAAACATTGCTTCTAGGTCGCCCGTCCAAGTTTATGTATGAATGACAATTGGTATAAGCTTGAAGGAATTTGAGTGTGGAGCGGTGGATGTCAAGAACGTCATTTAGTCTGCAAAATGCAAGAAAATTAAAAAGTAAGCGGCGGTTTTTAAACTGATCTTAAATCCCGTTGGTGGATTACAGGGGTATTCCGATCAAAGATCAAGTAAATTAGTATTTTTTAAAATTGAATTATGGGATCGTGACAGCTTTTGACCCACTTATTTTGTCTCTGACATCAGGTGTCTTTCGGTTTGACGTTTTGGTCTCTAATGTGAAATAAGGGGGATAAAGTAAATTTTAAATACGATAAAAGTATATAACTACTATTTTTCTCGGAAATTTAGTCACTATGAGCGCAATTTTTCGAGGTCCCTGTATTACTCATGAGATTGTTGAACTTATTTTTGATTTTTTAGTCTTCTAATCTCCATTTTCTTACAGATTCCTCTCCCATTAAGCCTGTCCAGTCAACTTTCCAGCCAAGAAGAAGAAGAATAATCTACGATTTTAATTTTACCTATTTGTTTCTTTTTTATATTGTCTTGCTTGCTTTGAAAGGTGTAGGGGGAATGGGAGAAAAGGGCGGAGAAGGTAAGTAATCGGAATTGGGTTGAATGGTGCTGATGCTGTAGTTGGACAACCTAGGACGAAATTATTATTACTGGGCCGGTAGAGAGCACATATCTTAGAGATTGATGGTTTAGTCTGGAAGTGGGGGGCGCTACCGCGTTTCGGGTCAGGGGCAAATCGCGTCACGACAGGTCGGGTCGACGGTACCGTTTAATATTTTTGCTTCGGGACTTGGAGAAAAGGATTTTTTTTGAGAATTTGAACAAATTTTTGAAATTTTTTCGCTTCGGGACTGGAAAAAGTGTTTTCTGGAGAAGTAAGGTTTATCTTCGATTTTTTTCGGAAAATAGTGTCTTTAAGCGACGAGCAAATCAGAAAATCGTATCCATTGTTTATGTTTTTAACTAGAAGCACGGGATTTTATCCCGAAGCGAAAACAGTTCAAAATTTTGTTCCAATCCTCCAAAAAATCTTTTTTCCCTAGTTCCGAAGCGAAAATATTAAACGGTATCGTTGACCTGAACTGTCCCTGACCCGAAATGTCAGGACGCGGAAGTGAGGGGTACCTAGAATTCTTTTAGTTTTTGGCTCTGAAAGGCGTTGAATTATGGCTCGACCGAATTACTCCTATCCACTCGGGCATTGGGCATTTTCGACCTAGGAGACTGGCATCGTGGAAGGGTAGGATGCAAACGTAGGAGGGGAATAGGGCCAGGAAGAAGAGTTGGGTTAGTGAGGGTTGCTTATCCTTTGTTCGGCCGTAAAAGCGCCAGTACTGTCGGTATTGTATTGTTTGAATCGTGTGTCAAAGGGACGTTTGGAGGTAGGAGTACAACTCGTTCCAGAAAGTGCGTGGACCTTTCGCCGCAAAATTTCCGCACTTTGCGTTTGACCTTTGCAACGTGCGATTCAAACGTCGCAGTGACGTAGGCTTTTTTCAACTACGTCGCCGCGCATTTTGGGCGCGTGACAAAGATTTCACGGCACAAAAAAAGAAGAAAAATGCACTGTGCGCCGCGAAAAAATGCCTACGCACTTCCTGGAACGACTAGGAAAGGGGGTGTTTCGTAGCTTGCTATTGTTAGTTTACAGGGGAAGTACCCCAAGTGCGACGCTCAGATTTTTTTCAAATTTAGAACACACATCGGTCATGGACTAAGCATTAATTCCTGGAAGTTTTAGCTCGCGCTTTGCAAGTGCAGCCGAGAGGGTTGAACGATCTCTCTCGGAGAGCGGACAGAGAGAAAAACGCTTTTTGGCCATAACTTTGGCAGTTTCGTGCGGAAAAAATTGATTTTTTGTGGAAACATTACCCTCAATGATAGAAATAGGCTTAAAACTTTTCGTGCCAAAATTCGGCAAAAAGTGTCATATTTTCGCCAACTTTCGATCTAAAAATCTCGGTTGTCTCTGCAAAGCGCGAGCTAGGATTCTCGCATATATTTTAGAAAAAATTACTCTAAATTTGTGCCAAGTTTCATTAAAATCTGAGCGCCGCACTTGGGGTACTTCCCGGTTGGGTTAATGTGGGTTTTTTATTCGTTATCCGGCCGTAAAAGCGCCATTTCTATCGCCATTGTATCGTCTGAATTGTGTCTTGAAGCCAAAAATGGCAGATTCATCAGCGAAGGCAGGGATCCAGTCCCGAACGCAGAACCAACCTGCCACTGGTCAACGAGTTCCTGTGATCCGCTGGCCATGTCTTCGACTTCCAGACCCGTAGGAGCGGCACTCTCCATTCTTGTTCCTCCGGCTGGCCGGCCTCATCCATTGCAAATTGGGCAACGGGACGCTTGGCGACTATATGTAGAATTTTCTCGCCGTTAGCGGAAGAGTTCTACGTTCTGGTCGGAACCAGGTTTTGTGGAACATTCCCACAATAGCGTAGAAAAAGCGGTTCGAGAACGAACGTCTTGGACAGAACCAGAGATTGCCACGGTCAAAATTTTGGCTCCTGCTCTTAGCTCCCAGAGCCGGAGCCGAGGCCAAATTTGCAGCTCCGGCTCTTGGCTCCGTGCAAAATTTAAAAAGGCCTCCGGCTCCGAATCCCGGCTCCTATGCAAAATGTTTTTTTTAAAATATTTTTCCAAAAATAAAAGTTATTAGTGCCAGAGATCACACAGCCAACGTTTCTGCAGTCAAGTCACATCCTCCGCAGTGTTTTTTCAAGCAATTTGGTTTAACAAGATCACGAAATTTTTACTTTTCTGACCGCTGGAAAGCCTGGCTCCGACTTTGGGCTCGGGAGCCGGAGCCGACCCCAAAATTTCCGGCTCGGGGCCGGAGCCGCTCAGAGCCGGAGCCAAGAGCCGGCTCCGGAGCTGTGGCAATCTCTGGACAGAACCCATGTT